TATAGACAATAAAGTAAATATTGACAGGAGAATTTGAAATATATTTTTATTCTTTGTTTTAAATTATAACGGTTTTCTAGTTAACATTTTCAATTGCAATATTAGCGATAGTACCAACTTGTAGGTTTAAAGCAAATCAGGACAAATGTAGAGATCATATCAATAATTCCCGATTAACGTGAAAGTACATGTATGTGTATAGAGCAAACTTACCTAGTAAAATCGTCATGGTTGCAAAATCGTCATAATTTCTCCAACAACAGATTGTGAAACAAAATAAATGGATGAGTTGTTAATTTCCACTTATAATCCGGTATAAAGTATGTATCTATGGCATCGTTACATCCACTGAAATTGAAAATGTCGCTTCCGTTTCGCAATATTAGCTCCTACAAATACGGTAGGTTTAGATTTAGTGTGAGAGATTTACAGATTTCGAAATCTCGTTAAGACTGGAAAGTAATAGCCAGCACTTGTAAAGATTCTGTATTTAGTGCTTTAATTATTTGACCAACGATCCATTTCAGTCTGAGGACAAAGGATTTAATCCCAGCACGAGTAATTGAATTGATTTTCAGTTTTTAAAATGTACAAAATAAATAATCTTTTTTTGGTCAGTAATTACCATGGGCAGTTCTGGATTATATCTGTGCATTTCAGTTCTTTTGTGTTGTTTTTAGTTTTAAATCTGAAATAATAAACGTATGCAAACATGTTTCATACAGAAATTTTGAAATACCAGTGGCAGCAGCGTTAGTTAAATTCTCTGTTTACAAGGATATCGACTGAATTTTTCATATAAATCTCATTGGTAAATAAAATGTTTCTCAAAATAATTACACGTCGATGTTGAGTATTGGGGTTTGTGGGTTAGGCTAGTGCGTCGCACATTAAAGTTGTTCATATATGATTTCTCTGAAAAAATATTTATTATTTAATACTGTCCTTTGGAAGTCTAATGAAATAAAATAAAAGTTGTGAACCGTAAAATTAAAAGTCGGAAGAATCACAAGACTGGCTATTTTTAAGGCGATTATCAAAGTGAGCATGGATCGTGTTTCCTAAAAAAGAATGTTTACTCTATGATAGAATAACACGTGTGTCGCAAAAGTTTACACTCAATTTAAACCGATCGTGATGTTTCTGAATAGCCAAAATATTTATAGTGTCTTTCAAAAGTAAAGCGTTTTTTTTTCTTTAATCAGGAATCCTTTATTTTATTTAAAAGCAGTTATTTTTCCATAATGGACCCTTTGTTATCCATTGAAGTAATATATAATATGACAGTAAAAACTTTTCTGTATTATTGAAGGATGTCATCTATTAAGTTTTATTTATCAGGTATATAACTTTTTTGTTCAATTTAATGATTATGAATTATCCTATTTATTTTCAAATAGTTGGAAAAAATTAAGACAAATTATAGATGTTTTTTATGCTTTGAGTTTTGTCATACTAGAGGAATGTCTTTGTTCAAAACAAGAAAATATGTCCTTTTTTAATATACAGTAAATAAAAAGTGTTAGAATAACATATTGTTTAAAACTCGTCCATCTCTCGTTACACAATTCTGTTCAGAAAAGACTTAGTAATAATTTGCATACAGATGACGGATTGTTTGTTTTTTCTTTTATTTCTTCTGCAAAATTCAATGTCAGAGACTGTCCCGTGTTGTTCAAATAGGCAAAGGATTATCCTAGATTGGGTCAGGACGAAGTCCAAAGCACTGATCAGTACTAGGGCTGTGTATTGAGCAAAAAATTTCGATACGATACGATACAGTATTTTCTAAAGCGATATGCGATATATTGGATTCTTAAACAAGTCGACCAAAAAAGTCTTATATAGTCATTTAATGCATGAATTTCATAAAAAAACTAAGTGTTTTATAATCTATTTCAAAGTTCTTGCCTCAATGCAACTACAAATAACACTTCAAATTAAAACTTTTAATGAATGAAAAATCAGCATGTTAAAATAAAATTATCTATGTATTTTGTAATAATCATATAAGTTGTGCTATGTCCTTAAGGATTATATTTTATTGGTCAGTTTTAATTTTAAAAATTGAAAATAATGTTTAGTGATTAAAATTCAGAACTTGACACTAACTACGTAAACATTTTATAAAACATATTTTTCTCTAGATAACAACAACTTAAAAACGCCCGTGAGCCCCGTGATATCTTTCATTGTTTCTAATGTTTGCATTTTGTTCATAAGAGCATTTTTTTATTGTCTTCATTGACATGATCATAGATTGACCTGAACCACGTGTTTGAAGTAACATGTAAACATGTATTTGGCGTAACCGTATTCAATCAGCAATTGGTCAATTGCTCGTGGTAAGATTCTCTGTGCGCATTAATAGCAATAGCCATATAAGGCAAACAAGGGTTTGTCAGTGTAGATGATAATTACACATTTTGCTTTACCAGCTGTCGCTATTGGTAATTTTTGCAGTAAACTATGATAAGATGTAAAAAATCCCCCCTTTAGCCACCATTTCTGTTGAAAATCATGAAAGTCTTTCAGAAAGGTCTGAAAACACATTTTTCACAGGACATGTTTTCAGAAAAAACAGACTATAGCAATTTCCTGTTTACTGCCAATTTTATTTATAAAACCGATTCTACCCTACAATCTTTGAATAGGTAAACCTAAAACCACGTGTCTTGAATTTAAATCACAATAACGTTAGTAGGGGTGATTATAGTAATCGCATTATCAAGGGAAAATTATCAAACGTTTGTGCAAGAAAAGGGATCCTTTGACCCTGACTTTGGAGTTCGATCTACTTTTTAAAAACTTTTAACTTTTGAACGGTTGGGGCTAGTGCTTTCAATCTTCCCATTTATAATCTTTGTGTCAAGACCTTTCTTTAGAAACCAGCAACCTTGACCCTTTGAGCTTGACATCGGAGTTCGACCTACCTTTAAAAACGTTAACCTTGAAGAGGTGGTCGTAGGGTTTTATATTTTACATTTGTATTTCTTGTGAGAAGGCCTTACTTTAGGTATCAACATGTTTGATTTGCATTTGAGAAAATTTAACCTTTGTTATGTTGCCAACTTGCCATACGAGGGCATCAGTGTTTCACAAACACATCTTGTTTTATTGTTGCTTTACGTCCCATTCTGTGTCCGATCTATATATCATTTAATAGAGAAATCTTGGACCTTTCTTCTTCACTCAAATATTGAATCTATTGATTATATGCCCCGGAGGTATGTCATATCTTTAGACCAATGTTATTCTCGTAAGAATGGGGGAAAGGTGCCAAATGTGTGTCCAGCTGAAAACACATTAATGTATTGGGAAAATATTCTTCCAACAAAGACAGCTGAGCTTTGGATATGAACACTGGTAGTAAAGGCTTAAAGTCCATGTACGGTGTCCTTAACTTTCCAGTGAAGACACTGGACTTTCATACTTTACACAAAGATACTTGATGTGTCATTTTCTTGATACATGGTCATTCTGCTTCTTCAAGGTCAATAGGAAAAAAAATATATAAGGTACTTTGAAATAAAACTGCAGCGATGGATATAATTTCATTAGCTTGCTTCAAGTATATCTGGATACAAACTTCTAACCTTTAAAATGATTTAAAATCAATATAACCACACGGGGGCATATATGTTTCATAAACATTTTTGTTAACTCCAATGGTCAAAGCAATTTAAAAAATAGGCTTTATGTAACAAAGAAAAATAGCAATAATTTATATTAAATATAAAAGTATTTTTTAATTCATTTAACCTTAGCTCTCCTAATTCTCAAATAAGTAAGTTTATCGTCATATTAATTACGAAAGAAATAAAATTTTACGACATTTAAGGTTCAAATAATATACCTATATGAGGAATAAAGATTCAATACATAATCAATACATGTAAAATTTGTATATGATATGTAAATGTTATTTTACTTTGGTAAATACATGTATATGTTATTACATACTTATATGGCACGCCAAATTCACAAAATGAGCTAAACCTAGTTTCACAATTGATAAACTAGGTTTATCGACTGTAAACTATAGTTTACAAACCGTAAACTATAGTTAACGATTCGTTAAGTATAGTTTTCATCTGTAAAACTATATTTAACGGTTGTTAACTATAGTTTACGAATGTTAATTTAAGTTTATCTATCTGTAATAAAGCGTTAACAATAGATTTTGTTGAAAAACATAGATTCACGTTTGTAAACTATAGTTTACAATCGTAAACTATAGTTAAGAGTTGTTAATCATAGTTTCATAAATTGTGAAACTATATTTATCTACACGCCAAATTCACAAAAATGAGATAAACCTAGTTTCACATTTGATAAACTAGGTTTATCGATTGTAAACTATAGTTTACAAACCGTAAACTATAGTTAACGATTCGTTAAGTATAGTTTACAATTCGTTAAGTATAGTTTTCATCTGTAAAACTATATTTAACGGTTGTTAACTATAGTTTACGAATGATAATCTAAGTTTATCTGTCTGTAATAAGCGTTAACAATAGATTTTGTTGATAAACATAGATTCACGTTTGTAAACTATAGTTTACAATCGTAAACTATAGTTAAGAGTTGTTAATCATAGTTTCACAAATCGTGAAACTATATTTATCAGATCGTTAACTATAGTTAACGGTTTGTAAACTATAGTTTACAAATCGTGAAACTGTATTTATCAGATAATCTCTGTTTTGCAATCGCAAATGATTGTTTTCAGTGTTAAGTATAGTTTACGGTTGTGAAACATAGATTATCGCGTTAACTATGGTTTACAGATGTGAAATATAGATTAACGTTGTTAACTATAGTTTACGGTTTGTAAACCATAGTTTACAGTCGATAAACCTAGTTTATCGATTGTGAAACTATGATTATCCCATTTTTGTGAATTTGGCGTGCCATATACTTAAGTACAGAATATTAATATACACAATATAAAAAAAATCATATTTAATAAATCAAAGAATGGCAAAAATATAGCACCATGAAATTAAATACAGTAGGATTGATATAGCCTAAGGTATTGGGCTTGAACACAAGTAGACACTCTGGACGGTCGTGTAAATTGTCACATGAAATAATTCTTTATTCTTCGAGTTATCACGCTGGTGATCTGAAAAGAGAAAGGAAATTGTAAATACTGTAATCATTATGCTCGAAGTAATTAGTACCACATTTTAAACTGCTCAAAAGTACCCTTCAAACTATAAAAGACCAAAAAGATTATAACTAGGTTCATTTTTAGCTCACCTGAGCCGAAGGCTCAAGTGAGCTTTTCTGATCAAAATTTGTCCGTTGTCTGTCGTTGTTGTTGTCGTTGTCGTCGTCGTAGTCGTTGTAAACTTTTCACATTTTCATCTTCTTCTCAAGAACCACTGGGCCAATTTCAACCAAACTTGGCACAAAGTATCCTTGGGTGAAGGGGATTCAAGTTTGTTCAAATGAAGGGCAACGCCCTTTTCCAAGGGGAGATAATCATGAATTTATTAAAAATTAATGGCATTTTTAAAAAATCTTCTTTTCCAGAACCGCTGGGCCAGGAAAGATGAAACTCATGTGGAAGCATCCTCAGGTAGTGTAGATTCAAGTTTGTTCAAATCATGACCCCCGGGGCAAGGGTGGGGCCAAAATGGCCGACCCAAGTTTTACATAGAAATATATAGGAAAAATCTTTAAAAATCTTCTTCTCAAGAACCACTGGGCCAGGAAAAATGAAACTCATGTGGAATCATCCTCATGTAGTGTAGATTCAAATTTGTTCAAATCATGACCCCCGGGGCAAGGGTGGCGCCAAAATGGCCGACCCTAGTTTTACATAGGAATTTATAGGGAAAATCTTTAAAAAATCTTCTTCTCCAGAACCACTGGGCCAGGAAAGATGAAACTCATGTGGAATCATCCTCGGATAGTGTAGATTCAAGTTAGTTCAAATCATGACCCCCGGGGCAAGGGTGGGGCCAAAATGGCCGACATAAGTTTTACATAGGAATATATAGGAAAGATCTTTTAAAATCTTCTTCTCAAGAACCACTGGGCTAGGAAAGATGAAACTCATGTGGAATCATCCTCGGATAGTGTAGATTTAAGTTTGTTCAAAGCATGACCCCTGGGGCAAGGGTGGGGCCAAAATGGCCGTCCCAAGTTTAACATTGGAATATATAAGAAAAATCTTTAAGAATCTTCCTCTCAAGAACCACTGAGCCAGGAAAAATAAAACTCATGTGGAATCATCCTCAGGTAGTGTAGATTCAAGTTTGTTCAAATCATGACCCCTGGGGCAAGGTTGGGGCCAAAATGGCCGACCCTAGTTTTACATAGGAATATATAAGAAAAATCTTTAAAAATCTTCTTCTCCAGAACCACTGAGACAGGAAAGATGAAACTCATGTGGAATCATCCCCAGGTAGTGTAGATTCAAGTTTGTTCAAATCATGACCCCTGGGGCAAGGGTGGGGCCAAAATGGCCGACCCGAGTTTTACATAGGAATATATAGGAAATATCTTTAAAAATCCTTCTCCAGAACCACTGGGCCAGGAAAGATGAAATTCATGTGGAATCATCCTCAGGTAGTGTAGATTCAAGTTTGTTCAAATCATGACCCCCAGGGCAAGGGTGGGGCCAAAATGGCCGACCTAAGTTTTACTCTAAAGGGATATGTAGAGAAACCTTTTAAAATCTTCTTTTCAAGTACTTCAAAGCTATGATTAGTGATATATATATGGAATCATCCTCAGGTAGTGTAGATTCTAATTTGTTCAAATGATGAACGCCTGGAGGGGGGGGGATAAATTCAAGCCTGATGTGCTCAGGTGAGCGCTGTGGCCCCTGGGCCTCTTGTTTTGTAAGGCAGAGTGACCGAGTTTGATTCCAGCAAGTCCAGGACAATGATCTAGTAAAGGGGGGATGGGTGGCGGGTGGGAAAAACCCTAGATCGAACCAAATTGAAGACTGAAGAACCCTCTCTACACTGCACACTAAAGAGTTCTGATTCTATGGTATTATTTAGCAGTTAGAGTGATCTGCCCTTCGATCTAAATTCTAAAAAATAGAAATGTTTCACAATTTGTAATCAATTCAAGTATTCTTAACATTTTAAAAGGCCAAAATAAATTAATTGAACATGTTATTTACATGTACTTTCTCCGTGAAAGTAAACAACAGTGATTTCTCTTCACTTAAATTGTGCTGTGTTTGATTATTTTCCTGGGGTAAATGCCACGTACTATATAGTGAAAATTAATTAAAAAAGCTTAATATTAACACCTTTATAGAATATATTTTCTCAATCTCCAAAAAACATTTTGCACTAGTGTAGAGAGGGTCCTTAAAGGACAAGGTATGGTAACGGTCGAATCTGGCCCCTTATTTGATGTAAATAAGCAGAACTCAGTTAAACTTGTGATAATTTGTAGTTAAGAACATAAAATGATGCTTGTTTTAAAACCAGCACTAAATTTGATTCAAAGCTTACACAGAGGCCACAAGAGGGCGCGGAAGAGGGACGTTTTCCAGAATTTTCTCATTTCTGTTGGAATTTTGTTAAATTTGAGATAGTTTTCACTTCGGAAAACATACATGTAGAGCACTAGCTTGCCTATCTGATGTTTTTGTACATAAGATGCATCTAATATAACTGTATGATATATGTAAATTTTACAGATAAGCAAGCTTGTGCTTATGGTTTTCTGAAACAAAATGTGCGATGAAATCAATGAAAATTTGCATAAAAATGAGAAAATTCAAAAATTGACATATTTTCTGACCTTCCTGTGACCTTTGTGTATCCCATAACTAAGAACAAATACTAGTATTAATTTTCTATCATGGGCGACGACAGGTTTTTATTGATAAACTGTTCTTTCATTCTAAAAGACAGCCTAAATCGGGGGCCAGAAGTGAGTCTTAGCCAATCTTGTCCTTTCTGTTTGAATATATATATTTTGCCATTACAAAATTCTACAGCAAACATGTGTCACTGACATGGAGACATGTAGAGGACCTGTAACATCAAGTTTTAAGGCATTGACACGTAATTCAAAATTTTGGCATTTTCTGTCCACAATGTCATTAACCGCTTTGAATTTCATTTTAGCTCTTCCTGTACTGTCACCCAAATGTTTTCTATTGTCTGAAAATCTTCTTAAACCTTCTTAACATGTTCTGAAATACATGTACTACATTCGACTTTAATAATCATAATAGAATTCGAAAATCTGTTGAATTGACAATCTAATACAATATTTACAAAGATGGGCTTAATGTATTACCGCCTTTCGAAACAAAATTTACAGTTATTTCCAACCCATTAATCGAGTCTTCATTAATATTGAATTCTGATTTTCCATTACTGTGAAATATTCAAAATCAATGGTGAATAATGTACACTATTCCTCTTTTGTACTACCGGTATAAACTGGGATTTTTGGACTAAAGTGTATAGTAAAATTACACCCCAATATGGTAGTACCAGATAAAAACGACAAACAAACATAAAATAAAACTATATCATTGTAAATAAGAAATAAATCATACCGTCCATTCGCGACAAGTGTCGTCTGACCACCAACTTTGATAATCAACAACTTGTGCAGGAATTGAGTCGTTGTGTAAAGCTTTACATAAATAACAGAACTGATTCCACATGGTACCGCCATGGACGATATAATGTGTCTTGTGCCAGTCGAAATAACTATTATACGCTGTGTCATTTTTATCAAGATAATCCAGATAGTTTGCTAAATCATGCATGCTTTTAAAATCGTATACATTGATATAGGATTTTGGCGGAGCATCGTCAGGGACCTGTTCAGGGATCCAGTTGACAATGGGAATGTTTTCCCAGGATAGAGTGTTCCAAAATTTCTCGGAAATATATCCCTTGCAATTGCTGTTTTCAAATGTGATTGTAAACTTATAAGGTTTTAACATTTCAGAACAAGTACTGTTTCTAGGACACGTGAGGTTTCCACATCTCCCGTACATGTCTATGGGTGTGTATTGCTTTAATTTTGTAACAAAACTAAATCTTCCTGCGTCATCAACGCAATTACTTATCATTGCATAAGACATTTTAGTTTTGCCTTGAGCATAATTCTTATTGGCAAGTGCTTTTTTATTTTTCTCGGCAGCATTTCTATTCAATGGAGCCGCATGGCCATACGGAGCAAAAACTGTTGCATCTTTCCGGAAAGATAAGGTCCAGTTGAAAGCATATCTGGAGTATATAAAGCTTCTTCCGGTATAGTGTAAATGGGGAGGTGGTTCGGCAGAATAAACGACCCACACTTGGTGAGGGGCTCGATAGGTCGGGGGAGTTTCCCACACATACATGTCCAGAAGATGGAAAACAACAGCATCGACATCTTTAATGGCTGCTCTATCAGTTGTGACGGAACACTTGAAATCACACGAAGTGTTCAGAATTTCTCTTACATGTTTGACCCAGTTATAGTCAAAATGAAATTTCGTCCACAACAGTATGCGTTTTTCTGTCCTGTTCACCGAGTATTTCTGTTCGAACACGAACACATATGGTTGAGATCCTTTGTAGGTTATATGGTATTGCACTGGAAGCTTTGCAGAGTAAACATAAAGAAATGACGTCATCAGAAAGCTCATACCCACGGCTAAAATCACTTTGTTGTGAAGACATGTGTACAGGATATTGTAAACTTTCTTCCTCCAGTTCGGACAAGCCTTTTCCATTCCGTTATTATCTGGTAAAACAATAAGTTACATTGATCAATGCACTCAGATTTTAATTCTCCTTTTTTTCAAATATAGCACAGTTTCAAAAGTTCTAGAAAATAAAGTTGTTTTCAACTAATTGCCAAAATTTTTGGACTTTTCTATATATTTTTAATTCAGTTTAAGGAATCCCTCTGCATTATTATTACATATAAATAAAGCTTGATTCTTATCCGGGTTGTGCAAAGGTAAACAGTCATGTATTAAGTCTACAGAAATTAAATCCCCCCATGATTACACCTTAAAGTTATGTAATTAAGAATCTTCAGATGTTACATTTAGACGAAAGCCCTCACACTTCATACTTCGCATATCGACTTATGAATTAAATAAATGTATAATAATAGCCTGATAGTAAACACCACGTACCGATTCAACAAACACTTTAAAGCTGTATCAATTTTCGATTTGTCCTTACCAATGGATGTGATAAACCTTCCTCGATTGTGTCAATTCTTGCGAAATCTCCAATTTCAAAAACACGGAGAGCTTACACTAGGGATTTTCTCTCAGCATTGTCCAAATATATGGCGAGGATATTTAAAAGCCCAGACTCGTCAAACTGGTCAAACAATGCCAATCATTTATATCACTCTATAGTCAATAATGATTTAATTGAACTTCTCTATTGTTCTCATTAATTACCCGGAGTTCACCTTGCAGGACGTTTCCTCATGAATGGAGTTATGGAAAATGTCTCTTGTATTGATATTTCATCATTGATCAAATGTATGAATAGAAAAGTAAATACATGTATGAATTACACTAATGTAAGGTTTCTTGAACCGAAAATGGAAAAAAACCCCAACCAAGCTTAAATTCACTCCATTAATCGAAGGTGTGAGAAATCTCTTAACTCTTGACGAGGTCGAAATCCTATGGACAAGCTGTGAAGAGATGACACCTGCTGTGGCCATTTAATCAAAGTGAACTTCATTCGTAATAATTGACATTCTGAACTATCATATATTGATATCAATTATTTACGGATCGGTTGAGTATTTGATGATTTTTTTATTTACGAATCTTATCGAATCCTTACATTTGTCAGTTGTGTATTAAATAAATTCGATGAAAGGATCTCTCCTTTTTATGAATATCATGCAGTATAATTTATATTTTGTTCATTTGTGCATTATATAATATTTTATTAATTCTGTTGAGGACATTCATTTTTAACATCTTTTCCTTAGGCCATCTTTAAAAAAATGTTTGGTCGCTCCTCTCCCGGCCGGTTAACTAGGAAACGCCCGACTCAAAACTTTTTTTTTGCATTCCAGGATACGATATATATGTATTTTTTTTAATGAGGCCTAACTGTTGCTGACTAATCATTTCATATTTGTCTATTCACAGGAGTCTGAAGTTTTAGAATATCTTTGTATTGTTTAAATGGAAAAAAAAATCGTTATACAAGTTGCTTATATTTGCAAAGTTTGACTTAAGTGTTCTAGTCCGACTGTGTCGCACTTCTGTCGTATTTATGGGTGTATTTCATTCTCAAAGCGAGGTAACTAGGGTAGAAATCTATGCAAATAGAAATATCCTCAAATATTAAAGAATAAAAATGTTGGTTTAGTACGTTGAACATTTGAGAGGTTCATTTTATATTGCTGTACTATTCCTCAAAAGAAAAAAGTTGAAGAAGTACCAGTTATAATGATATATTTGTGTATTTTTGTACATTTTGCATTGAAAAACACGCATTTTTCATTAAATGTTATTTTTTCAAAAACACCTAGCAATATCTTCTGATTTTTTTTGCCCAAGAACATCAGATAGTACTTTAATTTTAGATTAAGAATGTCTTGAAGAATTCCCGTACGTTACATATACACTGAACCAAACTTCTAAGTGTTCACCTAACATTTTTGAAGTTTTAAAGAACAAATGTGAACAATAAATAATTTCTTTATTTCTTGGTTAATGATGCATATTTAAGTTCGATGTTGCGTAAATTTCATGTAAGTATCTCGTAAGAATTTTAAGCAAAGTGTCAAGGAAATGGTGTACCCTCAAAATGAAAATTCACTCAAAAAAATCTCGATTATGTAAAACCCACTACTCGATCTAATTACTACAAGAAAATCTTTATTGTTGGATATCATGTACCCCTGAAAAGGAGATTGACCCATCTGCTGCCAAACCATCTTCGCTAGCCAAGGGTGACGATCCGCTCCGTCCATCTGTCACACTTTTCCCATGAACTCCTACATTTTACACAGTGGACCAAACATCTTTTGGGAGATGGTAGGTAGTGTCATGTAGACGTGCAGTAAGAGTTAGAGGAGAGGAGCGGATCGTCACCCTTGGCTAGCGAAGATGCTGCCAAACCTACATGTACTGCATAGATCTTACCAAACCATTGAAACTTTGAGAAAAAGGGGGGGGGGGGGGGGCTTTGACATTTCTTTTAAAATCCCAAATGTGTTCCATGGGATTCAGATCCGGAAATTTGACAGTGTATCGTCACACAAATGCCTTTTGGTCATTATCCTTGGGTTTTTAGCACGTTAGTTATCCGCTTTAAGGATAATTCAAACTGTTTGAGCTGATATAAAACTACCACGAGCACCGATTTCTTATCATATCCGTACGACTGAAATTATTTGTTTCCATGTTTCTAACATTTTTTCAGGACACTTTAACACTCTTTTAACCTGGTGTGACGCGATTTTCTCATCAGAAGAAGATCAAGGTCACTTCCGGTGTGATTAAAATTTGTCAAAAACTTTCAAATTTTGATAAATTAGTGATGAAAAATTATCACAGCCTATAGAAAAATGTGTTTAAATGGGTTTTGATACTGTTTGACAATTTTTAAAAGTAATATGAAGTACAATTAAGCACTAATATAAAAGTTAGTGAAACGTGGTGCAAAGATGGTCAATATAGCAACATTCCAACGGCTCTATCTTCTATCTCAATTGTCATTTAACCAATGTTTTGTGTTTTTTAGTGAAACCAGTTTTTAAAATTTGATAATGATCTCAAAAAGATGCTTATTACACAAAACACATGCCGCAAAGTACAAATTTATTGTTTTTAAGCTTCGTCACGGAACATTGGTTTTCATCGGTGATATCGAATTTTCTCTGTACATTTGTTTAGAAGACTTAATTGTTGATATGAAAATATCATACCATTCTATAAAGTAGTTTTTAAATAGAGACATTTATTAAAGTGAACACTTAGAAGTTTTGTTAAGTGTATGACCTTGACCTACCTGCATATTGATTTGGCAAGGGATGCATATATCATAGACCTATCACATTTCTGAAAATCTCAAATACACCGAGTTACAATAAAAATATGGGAATTATAATTACTAGTATCATAATTAACTGTACATCTATATCTATTTTATATAATTTTTACATAGGTGAGATCTACCCAAAGTTTGCTTGTGTGTTGTGAGGTGTGTTATATTTGTATTGTTTCATCATGTATATTATTAATAACATTAAATTTCTTGACCAGAGTGGTCAACATGTTTGGTCATTTTTCTAGAACATTCTTAAATTCTGTGTATGTCCAGATTGTTCCAGTAATATCATGTTTTAACAACTTCTAGAATATTCTAGATTTATGATACTGTATAAATACCCCGTCCATTCAATGCATAGATATACTATTGTCGTATAAGCACCATTGAGGTATAACTGGGATATATTTTCACTGGGACATTGTGTGCAGCAACGGACACTCTGATGTATGCATTTTTAGATTCTTGCTAAGTTTGTACTTTATGATTTGTATATATTACTGTAAATAAATTATTGTTAAGTTTAAACTGTGTGATTGATCTTTGCTGGCATTTAGGGTTATTCTGACCAATAACAGACTCTGATGTATGTATTTTTAGATTCTTGCTAAGTTTGTACTTTATGATTTGTATATATTACTGTAAATAAATTATTGTTAAGTTTAAACTGTGTGATCGATCTTTGCTGGCATTTAGGGTTATTCTGACCCATAACATTGTGTTTTGCATTCATTTCATCATTGAACTGAGTAAACATTCAGGTTGAAATAATGATGAGTATATATGTCATTACAAAATAAATGGGGCACCAAACAGGGTATTGTCCGTTAGGCTTTAGATTATTTTGATAACTGCCCTGAAGACAGAGTTGAAGTATTTTACAGTCTTCGGACTATGCACTTCCTCTCCATTGTGATTGGAAGAAATTGTATGATGCAAAAATTGACAATTATTTCATTGGTTGAAATGCTGTTTAAGACATTTTCTGATGTTCTTATTTTCTATCGTTGAAAAATTACAAAAATGAACAGTGTATATTCACTGAAGTTTATTCTAAATAACATGCTAGTTTTTTAGTAGCAATTACGTGTACTAAAAAGTTTATTTTCATAGAAAACGGAAGTGATCTTTATTGCACACAAACTTTACAGCTTGTATGCATTCTTTTCCTCCTGTTTTAATATTGGCAGCACTCGACAAACCACGGAGGTTACGAAGAAAACCGTGCGCCTGGTTAACTTTTCACTCGGTAGTTGGTAAGACTATATATAATGTCAGTAAAATGCTAATGAAGAAATACAAAGCCAAGAAATTCTCAGCAATAATACTGGCTGATAGGTGTAGACTAGTTTACTGTTTAAGTTTGTTGCTAAAGACGGTAAGCTTTAGGAAAAACTCTACTTGTACTGACATTTCCTCTACATCTAATGAAGAAATAAAAAGCCAAGAAATTCTCAGCAATAATACTGGCTGATAGGTGTAGGTTAGTTTACTGTTTAAGTTTGTTGCTAAAGACGGTAAGCTTTAGGAAAAACTCTACTTGTACTGAAATTTCCTATACATCTAATCGGTACATGGTGGTCACGGCAGGTTTGATCGGTCAATAGGGCATTTTTATCCCTATTAGGCACCTGATTCCACCTCTGAGTTTTCCAGGGGTCCGTATTTAATGCCCTGTTTACATATTTATGTACTAGTAGTTTTTCAGATCGAACACTGGCTGTTCGTTATCTTCACCTTTCACATTTTTCTATAAAATTATGATAAATGTAATGTAGCGTCCTATTTCTATGAGTGAAAAACATTCTTGCAAGGGACGTAAAGCAACAACTAATCATTTTTTAATCAATCAAAATAACATTAATCAAACTGAAGAATCCTAATATCATGTGGATTCAAGTTTGTTGTGAATACAACCCCTTGATGTTACATGTAGGCCAAGGCTTAAATAAGGGTAACATTTTTCAGAAGGGAAACATTTTTTTCTTATAAATCTGATGATGGAAGAACATGGACGCAGATACAGATATGAGTACTGTGAACAATGGTCATTTTGTTCAATTTTCTTCTCAGAATTTGTATGTGTAAAATTATAGTGCTGCAAATATCACGTTCTAGTCCTTCACAAAAACCACATTATGATCACGTGGTGCTTCTTTTAGATTTCTGAATTGTTTATACTGCATGTACATTATCAACTTTAACAACACACTAAATGAATTTGTAACTTCCTGCCTTGTATTATAATATTATGAGATATGTACTTTATTGAATAAATGACCTTTTCACACAATATGGGTATTGTGTCTAATTTTCGCAAAACAAGCTCGGACTCTGGCTGGATATAATAATTCATTAGTACTTGGTTGGCATAAACAACATTATGATCACGTGGTGCTTCTTTAAGATTTCTGAATTGTTTATACTGCATGTACATTATCTACTTTAACAACACACTAAATGAATTTGTAACTTCCTGCCTTGTATATTAAGTGTTTAAGTGAGGCTTTAGGATTGATTGTTGGAAAATAAACACGTACATGTAGGAGAGACATTTTCTATTGTTCTTTGACTGCAAAAAGGTATTTAACTTATATAATGATTTATTCAAAATATAAAAATAGAATAAGTAATAGTTTTGTGCAATTCTTTGTGTGATAATTCCTCATTTACTTAAAATAATTTCCAATACGTAATTAACCACCAAAAACTTACATTTTTTTCTTAGAAACTAAATAAAAAAAATTAAATTAGCTTTATTTTGTTAAATTAAAAAAAAATGTTTTCTTAGGTTAAATGCTAGAATGGCTTGCCAAAAAACGGAAACGGACATTGGTTTTGCACAGGATTTGATCACCTGCAGCTTGTGCCAAAATAAGGTAGATTTCTTCTGTAACTCGTGTAAGGTACGACTTTGTTGTGCTTGCGTTGGGAATCATATGATTTCTACCTCCTCAGAGAATCACGATCTAGTGAAATATTCTCTAAAATACGAAGCATTGCAAAGTCCACTGTGTCCGACTCACATTCATCAAAAGTGTGGAATATACTGTAAGCAATGTGAAACTCCTGCGTGCGATAAATGTGTTGTTTCAACTGTCCACAAAAACCATGACTTTGTAGAAATGAAGGATGTTTATGAAGCAAAGAAAAAAATTATCAAACAAGACACAACAATTTTAAAAGAGCATATTGCCCCAGAATATGAAAAAATTGTTAATCAGATAGCGGAGTGGATAAAGGCATTACCAGATGACAAAGTAGTCTTGAAATCATTCGTGCATATGAGAGGTAGAGAATTGCATGAATTTGTCGACAAAGTTGTCAATGAATGCATCAAAGATATTGATGATATGGAACAACAAAATGCAGAAAAGTTGAAGAAAAATTTAAACGATTTCAAAAGCAAAATTGGGACTATACATCAAACCATTAGAGAAAACGTCACACTTTTACAATCATGGGATTCTGAACTTCTCCATTATTATTCAAATGTCGATCAATATAGAAATGTATCTTCATTTCCCGATGATATATACAATATGGAATTTGTTGGGGGTACACTTGACGGAAAGGATCTCTCGAAATTGTTAGGTGATCTTAGGATTTCCAAAGTAAAACAATTCCAAGAAAATATTACATGTACCAGATCAGAAATTGAACGGTCGCTTCGAAATATATCTTTGAAAATCCTCATGGAAGAACCAGAAATCATCGCCTATATTTCAACAGAATATGAATCGCTGCATGACATTGCTTGTCTAGAAAATGGACAGGCTTGGGTAAATGGTGGAGGAATAATGACAAGACTAGATATAAAGGGAAATGTACTTGAAAAAATTAGCACAGCTAATAAATGTCCCGCGAATGGACTAGCTGTCAACGATGATGGAGAATTATTGTATTCAGATTACAATGAAGAAAAAATATATCTGGTAAAACATGGAAAACCCAGAACTCTGAATAAAACGCAATGGGGACCAGGCGGAATCTGTTTGAGTGGATCCGGAAAAATCATGGCTGTTACATGTGAAGAGAGAAGGAGATTATTTCAAGTCGAAGTCTTTGACGGGAAGAACGGAGGTTACATCAAACGATTTGAACTCTTGGAACTTAAAGGAGGTCGTTATCTTACATTTTACATTGCAGAAAATATAAATCGCGATATATGCATTGCAGACCTAAACGCCAAAATCGTTGTTGTTTTTAACCGAGATGGCAACCTTCGTTTTCACTACAGAGGGAGAAACCTTCTTCAAAATTTTGATCCACATTACATCGCAACAGATAGTCAGGGACATATTCTTGTTTCTGATAATGGAAATCGTTGTGTCCATATTCTTAGCTCAGATGGAGAATTAATCTCTGTCCTAGATAAGCTTGGATTAGAAGATCCACGCGGAATTAGCATTGATAAAGAAGACAAACTATGGGTTATTGAAAAATCAGGAAGGATTAAAGTCATACAATATTTGAAATAAAAAGCAATATAGTGGAGCATACGATCTGTCAATAACCATCGTTATAAATAATGTGGATAACTGTAGTATACATATCTTGAATCCTGAGTGAATACGAGAACAGTTTGTCGTTAACTGTCATATAGGGTCCACATCCGCTGCAAACAACGTACACTTCTCTGTCACGACACATCGTCCCAGGGACACGTACTTCAATTTCACTCCATGTATCTTAAAAATGCATGATTATTTCTCTTTTTCTTCTCTTAAGACTGAGCTCGTGATTTTTTTAACATGCTTTGTTTGTAAAAAGGTGCATCAATGAGATTTGTATTTTCAAACATCAGTGCATAGCAAGTGACGGGTTTATTCTAAATTGTACAAACAAATTTATATACAAGCATTGCGATTTTCAGATAACTGCTTTTTATGGGAGTGGGAGGGGTGTTGTATTCACCGTGAAATAAATTCTATATTCAACTACTATACATTGAATTTTCTGTTTATCACATTTTCTTTTTTTTTCCCATGCCTTAATTAAAAATTAAATCTATATTCATGTGTACAAGTGAAAAAATATAAAAATCGTTTGTGCCATTTATAAAATCTTTTATAACATTTAAATGATGCCATTGGGCAATTGAAGAAGAAATTGTTTCTGCTCAACACTCAAATTAATATGTGGAGCAAATATCTAGTTTAATTAAGGATTTTTTTTAAGTTTTGTGTGATTCATTGGTGTGTAAATCACACAGACTTGTCTCGTAAGCATATTTCAAAGCGCGCTAGCGCTTCATGAAAAATATGCCTACGTGCAAGTCTTGTGGGACTTTGATCTCTCGTCAAGATAGATAGGAGTACTGTGCAACAATAAATTCGAGAAGTGGTGTTGTTCATCAAATGAGGATACCTGAAAATTCCAGGGAATTTTTGGAAAATTTGAAATCACAGAATTTTACTATCCCTCTACGATAAACAAAGTCCACGCTTTTTGATGTATAGGTGATATCTGCTTTTTCAATACTATGGAACTCGTATTTACTTACATTGTCCTTAATCTTTTGCTTTATTTTGTAAAAAAAAAACATTCTGATTGTACACACAAATACTCTGAAGTTGATATTTAAAAATGCTCGAGTTTATATGATTGTCAATAGCTATGTGGGTTTTTGCAGAGCAGTCTTCCGACAATCTGTATCGGTATCCCTTGAGTACCAATTGCGCCCTGTTATTAGCAGACCTATTTTTGTATTCACATGCAGCAGAAAGTATCCAAAAGCTTAAATACGTGAAAAGAAGAAAACACTTGCTTATATTTAGATATGTCGACGTAATGTTAATATACAAATATGGACTCAATGTAGGTCAATATGCATTTATAATGACCCAGGGTGAGAGATATTGACCGAAGATACATGGAGTATATCGACCGAGGGCGCTAGCCCTCGGTCGATATACTCCATGTATCTTCGGTCAATATCTGTCACCATGGGTCATTATAAATGCATATTGACCTACATTGAGTCCATATTTATTATATTATAATAATATTTTCCCAATTTTTTCAATACATTGTTTATCTTCCTAATGTTTACAGAGATAGTATTAACCATAAATAAGTTGAATTTAAATGTTTAAGAATTAATTGAATGTTACTCAGAGAAACTTGTTTTCGTAATAAATTTTAACCCATAGCAGAGTCATAATGCAAGATATCTATCTCCGAATAACACAGAGTCCCCCCTCCCCCAGATTGAGAATCGCACTCGTTTACACTTGCAGAGGAAATTAAATGCACAGACAAACTATAAATACCTATGTCTTCTACGATAAGATACAACCATACATGACACACTCGTATTTTCTGAAGTCTCCGTAATCGCGTAAACAGCGTCAAAACTCTGCTTGCCGAGTGGAAAAGTAGAATTCAACCATGAAATGGTACGTGCTAAGTATTCCCGAAAAATGTTCATAGATATCCTTGTAATTGTTTTGTATTCTCAGCCTCAGAATTCTTTACTATATCTTTTAAAATTTTCCTCACCTACAACTTGCAAATTGCGAACTTCCATGTTTGTCTAAAGCGAAAGTGAAAACGAGGCAGCTCGTGCAAGTCATTATTCGCGTTCAGCGGTCATTATTTAAAAATGATTACTTCGTATTGACCAATCAGATTACCAGATTTCACAAAGTTATATAATATTTAATAATAATCATTTCCATGTTTATGTCGATACGACATATATCGGGGAGCTTAAAATAAAGATACCACAGAGTGACATCATGACACATCTGTTTCATATTTGGATATTTTACTGTAAGAAAACATAAATGGTAATATAACAGCAAAACTTTGTAATTTACGTGATGAATCAGTTTTTTTAATCATCACCTTTCCTTACTTATGCAGCAATATATCAACTGTGTAAGAGGTTTTCATCTCTCAATTGATTCGATTGGCAAGAGCATGCTCTACGTATGAACAATTTCTAAAACGAGGTAAGTTATTGACAAACAAGTTTATTTAACAAGGATGTCAGCAAAAGACATAATTTCGTAAGTTCTATTTTTGATACAATGACATTGTCAGCAAATACAATCTATCATCAAGTCAAATGCTGACGGATATTTTTCATACTGAATTGTCGACATATTTTCCCGTGAAATCCCAATCTCGAGAAGGAGAACACGGGGTGTGACTGGTTGATAGGCAATGCAGTTATAAATAATCACTATTTGCATAGACATGTCTTGAAGCGTGCTATAAGTTTGAGTTAAAAAAAAAATACCAGAAATAAAACGTTCTGTGAAGAAGGAAAAAGGTACATCAAACAAGATTATCATTTCATATAAATGCGATGACTTTCTATCTCTTCCATCCCTCGCTTTAAATATATTCCTCAAGTAAAACAGTACTTCTTTGAAATGTGACAAGTTTTGGCAATAATTTGCAATGTACAAAACTTGTTGTCGTCCTTTGGACTACGTTTTGCACAGTGACGGCGTACGTAAATGCATATTGTCGCCAGTGATTTCGCACTCGTGAAAATATCAAAAATCCTGTCCCACTCGTGAAATAAATTCCATATTCAACTATAAAACATTGAATTTTCTGTTTATTACATTTAAAAAAAAACAAAAAACTTTGATTTTTACTTTGCCTCTGTCTTTTTGTAATACAGTTATAGGCTACATGACGTCATCCTTGAGGGGTTGAGACGTCATAGCTATGTGAGGTGAAAACATTGTAAACATGGATTTAGCAACATATTTTTGGTAATTTTGACAGTTTTATTCGTTGTCAGAATGGTTTATTTATTTCCATCTATCTTATATTTGGTCAAGGAAGATTTTTTTTTGCAACAATCTCCGTTATGGGAAGGGAAATCGAGGGTTTTCCCGCACTTCTGATATTCGTCACACTGTGACAGGATATCATTTTGATATCCTTTCACACTGTGACAGGATATCATTTTTATTCAATGAATAAATTACAGTATTTCACGGGTAAAAATGTAATAAAAGACAATTCTAGAAATATCAATATGTTTTAGAATCTACAAAAACAAGTATTGTAAAATCAGATTGTAATGTCAGTTAATTATTCTCAATTTTATCGACGTTTTAGACTTCAACAATAATCTCCTTGTTGTCCTCATTGGAAAGTTTAGCTCTACTACCAATGTACACTGCTAGAGCTTGCAAGAATGTTCCCAGACCAATAAACCCAGCCTCCATGATCATAAGTAAAACCCTCATCTCTTCGATATTGTACAACTGACACGTTCCCCGCACATTGCATATATTCTTCCAAATGAGACAGGTGCCATCAAACAACTTTCCGATCACCAAGGGTGCGGGAAGGTACACTTTATTAGAAAAAGAAACATTAAACTATTTGTTTCATTTGAAAGGATAGATAGAAGTTTTAAGTATTCTCTTCTCAATATTTCCTGGTAAAAATAAGTAGAAAATATAACAGGATGTAAATTTCACTAAAATAAAATTCTCCTGATTTTAATGACTTGATAAAAAGGACGAAATTAATAATTAGTATTATTTTGTTCTGAACCTTACCTAGTAGCGACATGGTAAAAGACATAAATCCTACTCCTAGTGCCTTGTCCTGCCCACTCACGTACCTATAACATACATTTTAACTTTAAATATAAAGAACAAAAGTACCTATATTGTCTGGGATTTTCAGTCCATTAACACCTTAGATTTTCACACATTTCGTTGAATCAATGATTGTATGTACCGAGTTTCCATTAGGTCTTCATTTAGTAAAATTTACACGTCTCTCAAAGTATCATTAATAAACTTTGATAAAGAGTTTGTCGAAACCTGCGTAAAAGCATGACCGACAGTTTCTTGTCCACCAAATGAAGTTTTTCTATGCTGAGAATTTTGTCAGAGAGACGGGGTTAAACTATGCAAATCATTTACGTGGCATCTCAATTATGTACTTATATATTTTCGTATTTTTCCTCAGAATTCAGTAATACAAGAACTTTCACAAGCATAAATCTCGAAAACTATTAAGTGGAGGATGATCTAGCCGGAAGTATAAAAAAAATTACTTTATTCAACAGTTTATAAGCAATATAGTACATGTATATGCGACCATTAAAATCACAAGAAGAATATGAATGAAATGAATTCGTAATGTTGATGTCATACCGTAGGATAATGATCTGAGTTGGTACTGTTGCCATAGTTGCAGCCACTATTTTGATAACTGTTGCAGTCACATACGGTATTAGAAACGGACATCCTGAATCACAAATTCCTGGAGTAGCCGTTAGGTTTTTTGCAGAGCATTCATAATACACCTTGAACGTATATATTTGCGTAAATTTACAACAAAATAATTAGATCAAACAAGCAAACATTAAAACATTCAGTTAATTTCATCATATCCACTAAAGTCAATTCATACTTTTATTGAAATAATGCTTAATTGAATATTCAGGGATGAGGGAGTCCATAATAATAAATAATGAAAAACTAGGTCCAGTAAATAATTTTAGAGTCAGAGAAACTAAAATTGTTTACTTGAAAAAAAAAAGGATAAACTTACCGTTCCTGTTACATTAGAACATCCGGCATGACAAGGAGAGAAAAACGTACTTCCGTCACTAGTGCATACTGGGAAGAATGGTTCAAGATGACAATCACACTTAGTAGTATTTCCAACTTCACTAAAGAAAGAGAAAAAGGATATATGATATGTATGTATATTTTAATAATTAAAAGACTTCAAGCTTCTAGTTATCGACGATTTTTCTTTAAAAGCCATGTTAAATCCATTGGCATTTGGAAAACATATTTATTTTCTGTATATGGCATTTTGCTATTATCATATTTTGTTTGGAATGATGTAAGGAAATTAATGATAAACTTTGCCATATAGGCTCAAAACTCTGTTTTTTGTCGAAACAAATAAACAAACAGAAAAGATATTGTTCTTTGGTGATATTTCTTACGCTGGGATTTGGTTTTTCTTTATGACATGGTTATTGCATCCAAATAAAACCAGGAGTACTTGGCACGCAACAACAACTAGAAGTATAATCAGTCGCATCTTCAGACTACCAAGACCCCTGAGTCCTAGTTGAGAGGTCAAGTATCCTCCGAGGAAGGTCCCTACAACCGCAGAAACCAAGCTTGCCCCGCCTGAAATAAGCAAATAAGAAAGCATTTTCCCCCAAAGTATTAATTTTTTCTGAAGTATTAAGGATATAGTTAATTTGCTTTGTTAATGTGCAAGAACATATCAATGAAACGTATCCCGAAATTCACAGTTTCGATAAAATTCCAGATTGAATAAGTTTTGAAATTACTTGTATATTCGGTGTGAAATTACTTGTATATTCGGTGTGAAATGCTTTAGCAATATAAAACTCATATTATACCGAAAAATCTGAGAAAATATTAACTTTCCCTAACAAAAAATACTATAGTTTGATATAGTTAACTATAAATTAATATAGTTAACTATAGTGATAACTTTGACACTATGAAAGCTTCGATTTATACTATAGTGAAAATTTTGATTTACTATAGTGATAACTATGAAAACTTTCATTTACCATGATCATTATGAAAACTTTGATTTACTATGGTGACAACATTGATTTACTATTAATAGTTATAACTTTGAAAACTTTGATTTACTTTAGTGATTACAATGACACTATAGTGATCACTTTGAAAACTTTGATTTACTATAGTGATCACTTTGATACAATAGTGTTTACTTTGAAAAACTTTAATATACTATAGTGATAACTTTGACTTTTTGCTTTACTATTGTTAACTATAGTTAACCATAGTACACTATAGTATATTATTGGTAACTATAGTATTTTTTGTTTGGCTCAAACCTGCTTCCCAGCACTTTTAAGGATCATATTCATATATTTCCATTTTAACATTATAAGATCAAAGTCAAGAAGATTAAAATATTTTGAAAATAATTTTAATCTGTAAAATTTTTGCATCATGTTGATAAGGTAGAAAAAAGTTATATTATAAATCTTCATATAATATATATTTATTTCCTTTGCCTCTAGTTTTTCATACTTGTAGAATTATATGGTGCGGTTTGTCATCTGATATTGTTTTTTACACACAAACTTTTTTTTATAACATATTTCTTATATAACTATTTAATATATTGCAAACATATAAGTTAACCTTTGTTCCATGCCAGATTCATGTGAAATTGGCATGTATTTTATTTTGGTATATTTTTTTTGCATATGCTCATAAACTCGCCTTGTATTAAGTTTGTTTTCCATGTTGGTATGTTGAAAACATTCTCCATGTACTTTGGACCAAATGAGTATATTCCAATAAAACAGAAATATATCAGACAGTTGGAAGCTAGAGTGAGACTGTAGATGGGATTTCGTAACAATCGCAATATGGTTTGAGGCAGAACTGAAAATAATTAACATAAATGATAAATCAGTCAACCAAAATAGAGATATGTCATGCATTGTGTTTTTCTCATATATTCAAGTATAAAAAATAAAATACCTTTTCTTAAAAAAGTTTTTACAACCGTTATACACTTACATTTATATTCTCAAATTGGATCAAGTATTGATAATGTGTTAAAACTTCTCGTCCATTGAAACTGGCATATCTTAACATTTTACAGTACTGTAACATAAAGTTGCATTACTTTTGATTTTGTCGAGTAGGTTCTTCCTGGTTTGATCTGGGTTTCTCGGGGAAGAGTTTTTAATTCCGGGTTGCCTTTGTCGTATTTGTCTGGGAAAAAAGAAGAGGATGCTCGAAGCTATGATGACCAGCCCTCCAAACATAAGAAATCCAATCCACCAAGCACCAATCCAGCGTGGATCACTAGGAGTCATGTATGCAACTAAAATAAGAAGTAAAAGAGAAAACACGGCCGTAAATTAATAAAAGTTTCCTTCTCAAAAAAGTAATATCGGTAGCAAACGTAAATACTATCGTTTTAGTGAAATGAACATTAGTACATACATTGTTCATTTACAGGAATTTTTCCGAAGGCTCCTCCTAAAAGTGATGCAGCAAAAGGCCCAAATAGGGCCAAAGTTGACGATATACCTTTGAATATAATATGTAATGTGAAGCATATTGTTATGCAGTTTTAAATTTGAAATATTTGTCAAGAAGACAAATACATTAAATAAATTTTAAATTTAATCTGTTTTGAATAAATAAAAAAATCTTTTTACATATTTATGAAATCTACTTTTGCTTTTATTTTAAGAGATTACGATGTGGTGAAATTATTTACCTAAATATTTTCCAGTTGAAGCTTTATCTGCGGAATTGTCTATGTAGATTGTGCCCAAAGGAACTCTCGGAGATTTAGCTATTCCTTGAAGAACAAAAATTAACGAGAAGAAAATGACGACCCATTTCGATTCTTGCCTCTCATTGGTGTTGTCTTCATTGCATTGTGCAGTCTTGTTAACATGTTCAGCATACGGGTTACAAAGAAAGGGATCTTTATCATCGCTTTCGGATGATGTCGCATTGGAATAATGCGGTTGATCAATAAAATTAGGAAAGCTTAGGGATATGGAACAACAACCAATAAGAATTCCAAAAAGAGATAAAATTCTTGGAATATGATACCTACAAAACAGCAAACTTTATAATAAATATATTACCAAAGTTATGCTTGAAACGTAAAAGAATAAATGCAAGCAAAAGATCGGCTCATAGCTTAATGATATACTTATATATTTTTGGAAAATTCAATAATTAATAATAAGAAAAAAGAAAACACGAAACAAACCTTCTACAATAATGAGTAATGAACAACACAGTAGCAAGATACCCAATATCGTTTGCTGCTAAAATTACTCCGCTGTGTGAACTAGTAATACCATATCTCTTTTCAAGTGTCGTAATCTGCGATGACAGATATGCAGAGATCGTTTGAGAAACCATTATATAAACACCGTACGCAATGCTGAAGGGTAGGAGTTGAGCACAACACTGCAAAGGACCAGGACGACAAAATCCTATCCCACAGCCGAAGTCTCCCTCAGATTGTATCTCATTGTCTCTAGCTTGCTCATTTTGTTGCTCATCTTGTTCATGATGTTGCTCATCTTGTTCATGGTGTTGCTCATCTTGTTCTTGAAGTTGCGTATCATGTTCATGACTTCGGGTATCATGTTCATGATCTTGCGCCTCATGTTCACGTTCTGCATTTGTTGCATTATTGACGATGGAATGTCTGTCGATTTCCTCATTACTAGACATGATCAAAATTCCTTTGATTTGAGTACCGGTATAATTTACGAAATTATGACATAAATTTAAATTCGTTAATTAAAAATACTCCACCAATATATATCGAACACATTTGCTGATTCAGTGAGAAATTGACTACAAACTTCAATCACTTCAATCACTGACCTCTTGATCGTTTGTCGTCAGTGCATAATCTTTATTTATCCTCGTAAGTTCTACGACCAGGATAAGCAAATTAGGACCTGTCCACATATACTGTGATGAACGTGAACTGGACAACATAAAATTTATGTATGCATATGTAACAAACAGGATGTAGATTTGTACAGTAATATTTATGACTTTATTTCAACAACATTGTTTTAGAAGAATCCGAGTTATTTTGGTCATTTTTTTTTTCATTATTTTAAAGGTCTCCGGCAATAAAAATAAATTACAATTTCTCGCTGAAAAATTGTAGTCTGTTCTTTAAATGTTTGCAGCACCGGGCGTCGATAAGACAAGGTAAACATTACCAGTAGAAGACCCCTGGAATATCCCGAAATAGACCGCGGGTGTGTGTCTATATCGAGCGATCTGATTGGCTTATTTAACCAGTGACGCAATATCTACCACAAGCTTATCCTTATCAAAACAACGTGAACAAAGCTGCTTTTGGGTTAATATAATCGTAATTATGGCTGAGGTAGACGTTCAATCCGAAGAAATTCAATTAATAGTATTACCACAACAATTTAAACAAACTTTAAGAAGACATCTTCATCAGAATCTTCAACTGGAAGTAACTCAAAGCGAGATTCGGACATCGACGTGGTTGATGAATGAATGGTTTGTGATAATTTTACTTCTTTTCCGTCGAAAATATAATTTTTTATACTATCATTGTTATATTGTCTTACATTTAATCAGTTTTGAATTTAACTCTAAAATGGTTTGTCAACTTACTCTGCAATCAAGATGATTATACTGAAAATTCATTTACATTAATAAGATGATTTTAAAAAAAATCAACAAATCTATAGTAAAGTACTGAGGATATATCTCACACTAATTTTTATGTACCCCTTCAATGTGTATTATTTTACTCTCTCTCTCTCTCTCTCTCTAGGTAAACCTGTCAAAACTGTATTGACATGCCAACTGCCATAGAGAGGAGATGTTGCCACAGCTTTGGGGTGTGCAACTCGAACTAAGTGTTTAGAAGAAGCAGACTTCACCTGCATTAAAAAGCACGAAGTGAATTGCCTAAACAGGCATGTCATCGAGCTCGCTTTCTAAAAGTATATGGGCTACAATGGCCCAATAGGAGTTGAAGAACCAGACCATGAGAAAGTTTGATTATTATGTATTCCTGGTCAGACAAGGCAGCTAAAAATGTTTGTTCTTAATTGGTATTTAATTTCTGTTAGGATTATGATGGAAACTTATGCAAATAGTCAATGAAAAAGCATAAAAAGATAAAATTAATTTCCTTGTGCAACAAAACTTGTCACAATGTTTTTTTTTGTCTGTGCTGATTTTAATGGTTTAAATATTTTCAGACTCTACTGCTACATTGTACAAGATACACAAGATGATTGTGGCATCGCCTGTGAAGGAAAAACAGGAAAATGATCCCAGCATGTGTTGTGAGTGCCACTCGTATGTCATTAACCTCATTGCAGTACACTGGGTTCCAGTATTCTAGGGACTACTGAGCGTTATTAAAGAAATAGTTGACAAAGTGAAAAATTGATTTTATCTTGTTTAAAAACAATATAAACAGCATGTGACAATAAATTTGTTTTACAGACATATACTTGCCACATTTAAAATATCAAAAAGCAGCAGCTGTTATTGTATAATAAATCATGTATTATAAAAAGACAACCATATTATTGAACTGTAAAAATGGACAAATACATGTATTACTGATGACTATAGTAAGATGTTCAAGGAAAAGTAATTTATTTACACGTTAAAGCAAAGAAGATTAAAGGAAATTGTTTGACAAATAAATTATTTGAAAACGGGACTAGAGGTTTGTGATACTATTACTCATCAGTCACTTGATTGCTAACAAGCACGTTCAACGGTTACACAATGTCCGGTATCTTCTGACTGCGCATGCTTCACCTTTATCCACTCGGTTGACTCAAAATTGTTTCACTTTAAAAGCTAAAAGCTTTTTTTAAAAATGACGTTGTTGAATACATGTGTACATGTCTGTATCTTTTAGCACTAATCTGCTTTGAAGAAAGATAAGCAATTTCACAAATCATATTCAAATTTAATTCACTTGTAAAGCTAAAAGCTTAAAAATGACTTTATTGAATACTAGTAGATATCTGTATCTTTTAGCACTAATCTGCTATGATAAAAAAAATTCACAAATTATAATCAAATGATTAAGTTTAAGTTAGATTTGACTATATTTTGCAAGAAAACATATTAGTAGTAAAAATGTAAAAAAACACAAAAAAAACCAAAACAAAAACAGATACACATTCAATACATACCTTTGAAGGAAAGGAAGTGAAAAATCCAAAATAGAAAAAAAAGATTGATTGATTATATATTATTTAAAGTCCCTCTCGAGAATCTTTCACTCATATGGAGACGCCACCACTTGCCGGTGGAGAACTTCAAATTTCGTCCTATCATCGGCACTTACGGCCGTTGAGTAGTGAGGGATATCTTTTTCGTGCCAGCACCTACTGCGACACGGGACCTCGGTTTATACCGTTTCATCCGAAGGACCGTCCAAAAAAAGAGTTCAACTGCCAATTCAAAGCATTTGTCATTGTCTACTCAAACATTCAACACAAATTATAATCTATTAGATTACATATATTCACGTCTTTCTTATACCAAAAAATACTGTTTGAATTTGAACAATTAATGATAATACAAATGAAATTAAAAAAATAATACATAAAAAAGTAAATGTTTACATTGTTCTTTTCCCTTGACCTTGCATAATGATAACAAAAATCGGTTTGTCTTTTGAATTTCTCAAACGTTTGATCTGACGAAAATGTTAATTGTATTTTTTTTTAAAAAGCTTAAAAGCTTCATAGCTTAAAACATCGTGTTTTGTTGATGTCTACAGTGTATGTATACACTATATACTTTTAAAAGCTTTGGTGAAATTTTAAAAATCGATTGTGGAGATTATATTCCGAAGAATATTCATCAGTTATGGTTTTGATACGTCTTTCAGGGATATCACTGGACAAAAATAACAAAAACGACAAAATAAATATAAATAAGTTTTATTTCTTTATCACACTGCAGTGCAATTACCTAATGTACTTTCTGGAAGCAAATCATTTTTTCTACATATTTTTCTAAAATATTTATTTTTTGACCAAAAAAAAAAACGTAACTCTCTGCTGGTAAACTAATCAAACATCAAAGCAAATGGTAGTTTAATATACTACTAATAGGAAATAAAATCAAGCGTTTAATATCCAATCGGCAGGGGAGGTCTCGTGATTGGATAAATCCGACCACGTGATCCAAAGTCTACAGGTATGTTTGAAGGTGAAATTCGGTCCATTTGGGACCCTGAGGCCTGTGGAAAGTCTGGGTACTCACGTCTTCCATACCTATGACATACAATACTTTTTAAAACAATTCCACAATTCCAAATGACTTTATTCTTAAACAAGTTATGCTGGTAAGTACGTGAATTTTGATTAGTTAATGAATGATAATTCATTGATGGGTATACATCTACTGTTTGCATTTTTGATCAAGCACTTGTCACAACACACACGCTAACACATTCAGTTTGTTATAACAGTCATTCTCGCATGAAATATATGGAGATAACAAACAGTATCGAAGATTAAAAGTCCATAAAACAATTCAAAATGGAAGCAGAGCAAACACGGGCCTCCAAAACATCAGATGTGGGATCAGGTGCCATGGTGGAGTTAGCATTCCCTGCTGACCGGACACACCCGCGGTGTGCTCCTTGTCATCATCGGGAAATAACGGAACAACCATCAATTGTGTGTAAATAATGGTCTAATAATTAGTATGAACAACGTCCGTCAGCATTTGACTCAATGATAGATTGTATTTGCTGACAAGGTCATTGAATCGACCACAAAACTAATGAAATGATGGCTTTAAACGAGACTGCTTATACTCTTTTTTCAGCAACTAATTTGTCAATAATTTACCTCATTTTAGAAATTATATATACGTAAAGCATACTCTAGCGTATCGAATCAACTGAGAGTGATGAAGGTATATTTCTGCATAAGTAAGGGAAGTTGACGATTGAAATGTTAAAGTCATCACGTTTATCATTTTAAGCTTGGTTGTTAGATTACTATTAACGTCGTTTTCAAGTTAAAATATCCAGATATGAAACAGATGTGTCAGACTTTGTGGTATTTTTTTTAACCTCAAGCTCATCGTAATATATCCGTATTGACATAAGACTGGAAATAACCATTGTTAACTGGCAATATACGTCATCGATATACCCGGTATCTAAATGTCGTGTTGAAGGTCACAGTAAGTGTTTTTTGTCACAAATAAGATTTTGGACAAATTCTGCTACGAATGAATACAAAATAGGTCTGCTAATAGCAGAGCAGAGTTGGTACCCATAGTAATTCCAAAAGATTGTAGGAAGAATTGGTCTCCAAATCCACATAGATATGGTTAATCAGACACTCAAGCATCTTTTTGATGTCAACTTCAGAGTACTTGTGTGTACAATCAGAAAATTTTAAACAAAATAATTCTGCAAATGTCCAATTACAAGGTAAGTAAATTGACGAGTTCAATTTTAATTGAAAAGCAGCTGACAATGATACCCAAAATACAGGACTTTAATTTTATCGAGGGGAATTCTGTTAAATACATGTCAAACAAAATTAATTCCAAGTTTTTATTTTTATTTCAAGAATATATTTTTATGGTTCAAGTTTGACATCTCTCAAGTATTAATTTTAAAATGAGGAACTATTCTAACAAACATTTCCAAAATAATTTAATTCTTTACTACATACGTATATATTTTCCTTCTCCGTTTAGATAGAAAAAAAGGAAAACAGAACAAAGGTGATCACGCTAAGCGACAAAGCTCAATGAAAAATTTAGATAAATGTATTTATCTATCTCAAGTTGATGAACTGGTTCTCATCCACTTAGTTATTCGAAAATACATGTATATGCTTGAAAATTTCTATACATCTTTTTCCTTATTGTAAAAAAAATCAAAATCAATTTCATATCAAATGAAATGAAATGAACATTGGCACACCGTGAGAATGCACAATTAAAAAATTGGATGAATCTATAAAAAAAAATGTTTATATAATATACATGCACATAAATGCATGCAACTTATTTAGAACTTTTAAAAGAAATAATGGTAACATAGGCATGTATATTAATATGTAGGTTAACATTTACTTTTATAGAATATCTATCTAAATTTGGACCTTTTACTAGTATATTGAAATTTATTATTAATTTACCTTGCTGGAATTTCTTTCCAGTAGTCCTGGTTATCTACAAGTAACATGACGTTTAAGAATGTATATTTCATAGGTATCCTAAATATCTATAATGAAAAAAAAAGCTCTATAATGCCCCAGTACATGTAATGAGCGAACTTACCGTTTTTCCAGTATTTCATTTCTTCAGCAGTATTAATTTGGATCCTACGATTGTGTAAAATATACATTTCAAAATATTGCACAAACTAAAGCTAATTTCTTGCGATTATTGGTTATCTACATGAAACGTTTAAGAATGTATATTTCATAGGTATCCTTAAAATCTATAATGTATAATGCCCCAGTACATACGATTGTGTAAAATATACATTTCAAAATATTGCACAAACTAAAGCTAATTTCTGGCGATTATTTCATGAAATAAAGAAATGTAGATCTAAATATATAATTATGATGAGCAAACATTTATTCATGTTTTTGTTTTAAGTTGATATTCATAAAAATGTATTGCTATTTTTTCAGACAATAGTGAAATGTATCTTAGGTACATGGAATTTTATTTGTAAACATTTTATTTAGATCAACCTACACATAATTCAAAATTTAAAAGAAAAACGTCATTCTTGCACTTTCATGTGCTAGACCAGATTTTGGTTGTTCGTTCAGATTACCTTTTTGGAGGATACTTTTCTCTGCAAAATGAAAGAAAGAAAAATACTATTGCATGTGCATAATCTTACTGTACAGTGATTAATAAATAGTAACGAGTTTTTGGTAGAATTTCAGGCCTGTTCATCAGACATGTTGAATCCTATCCTATCCTATTTCTTCTTCAATATTACCTTTCAAATACTTAAATATGTATGCTGCTTCATGAATATTAAAAAAAAAGATAATGACCTGATTAAAGTACTGTCCATGTTATAAGTTACACTATGAAAATGCGTCAAAGCTTGAAATTCATTGCTTACGTTGCTGGACTGTTCTTGCAGCATTTCATAAAATCACATGGAGCCGATCCAAGACAAGCACCGGTGTAACACAACCTTTTACATAACAAAATAAAGCATTCACTTGATTTCAATATGCACTGTACATGTAATTATAACCCCCTTTAATTTCATGTAAACTTATGACTTCTTCTTCTATTAATGTGCCTGGCTCCAAAAGTTGGACACTATCTTGAATGCTATCTTTAAAACTGAGCTAAACACTAACTTAACAAAAATGAGTTCAAGGTCAAAGGAAGGTGAACGTAAAAAATGTTGATGCATTTGAATAGCTTACACCAGTACGTATCAACATATGAAGTTGATCAAACTACATGTATCTTGAATGGAATCTTTAAAACTGAGCTAAACACTAACTTTAAAAAAGTAAGGTCAAGATCGAAGGCAAGGTCAACGTCCAAAAATGTTGATGCAGTTGCATAGCTCTCAACAAACTCTATCAGCATGAAGTTTAAAAAAATACCTTAAGTAGTTTCTTTGAAACTTAGCTCTGAAATGAGCTAAACGCAAAGTGTGTCGGATGGACAGACGGAAGGACGGAAGACGGACATAACAAACACTATATGCCCAGGCCATATTCATAGAAGGGCATATATATAAAAACCATCAATTTTATATAAAATGAGCATTATGCTTGCTCAAAAGGCTATGAAGATGTAAATTGAATTCAAGCCATATTTTTAGAGTTGAAATTTTAAAAAACACACTCAATTCAAAATTCTACACTAGCTTTTTCTTTGCCACAGACTAACTAGTAGTCGGTCTGAATCTATCATAGCAGACAGGGCCCAAAACCTTTGTAAAATAAATTTTAAACCTAAAATCCAAGTTTGTTTCTACACATGTAACTTTAAAGAGCACTATAACTGTTTCTTTTTTCAGGGTTAAAGTTCATCCTCTCTGATATTAAGTATTACAAAACTTTACTGTACTTTTAAGTTGTGTGTTTTTTTTAAAAGTATTTATATGTTTTCTACAGATATAATTCCTTTGATTGTTAAAATGTGAATACAAAGTTTTTTTTAAATTTTCGTGCAGAAATCAATGTTCTTTTTATACATATTCATATACAGTATATATTTTCTAATGCATTAAATTAACATGAAATTATCTACACATGTACTTAATTCCTACATTTTAAGTTGTGGTTTTTTATCTCACAGGTAGATTACACAAGTGTGTCACGTGATCAGGGTGTATAGAGATAGACTGCACTTAGAGATTATTAAAGGACGGCTGCCTTCACTGAAGTCGGGTAAGACACTCTTGATGTTTCTTTGCATAACAGTTCAGAGTCACTGAAATTTCATAATTACAGACTTTAATGGGAATAAAATTTCATTCTCAAAGGATTATATGAACCTTATACATTTAATATTTAGAGAATATTACATACTAAAATCTATATGATATGTCATATCAGACCGAGAGGCCGCATATAAGCCCGAGGGCGAAGGCCCGAGTGCTGATATGGTACCCGAGTGCTGATGTGACATATGATATGGCTTTTAGTATGTAGTATTCTATTTATCAAATATTTAAAATACGTTTATGCGAGTTCACATATTGTCATTGAAGAATGTTTCGTGCCTGTTTATGACCTTTTTCTTTTAAATCTAATAGAGCCCATTTTAGGTAACTAAAAAAAGAAATTAGACCACAAATGACATTGAAGAATCATTTTAAATGAATATTTAAATAAAATCAAGTAAATTAACATTTAAACTTTATACAAACGTTACTTTCGGTTTGATATGGATTTTCTGCTCGCCGGTCCGATCGGTGAAATGGACTTTCCATCGATAGTATCATACAATGAAGCACATTGAAATGGTAAAATTTTCCATTTGGATGAAACGTTCTGAGTCATGTTTTGAACGTCAATTATAACATAACGACACGCCCATTTCTTTAGAAACGAGAAAGAAATATTCGTCGTAATGTTTTAGTACACCCCACTTTCCGCGACAAGCAACATGATTTACACTAAAATGAAGATTTTTAAATATGAAAGAGCTATATATAGAGTCCCCTCTTCTGTAAAACACGCATTGAAACGAATATGTACATAATTATGATTTTATCATGTTTATTGGAGTTAGCATAAAACACATGTATCAGTCGAACACGTGCTTACTCGGTGTTTATGTAGACCGTCAATTTGATTGGCTATTATATTTATGGAATACCTGTTCTACAGGTATTCGATTGAATCATTTGACCGATTTTTCCTTTCTAAAGAAATGGGCGTGTCTAAAGATAGCTCAAAACGTTCCATCCAAACGGAAAATTTTACCACTTCAATGCGCTTCATTGTAACAAAAATTGCACTAAAAAAGAATGGTAACACGTTTTTGTGTATTTGCACTCTCTGGCGGAGATATAACTAAGATATAACTAGCTTCTAAAGATATAAATAAACATTGATGCTGGCCGCTAGGTTAACCTTTTAACCTGATCGAACGATTCCCAGAATATACCATTCATTTGAATGCGGTTGTTTACTTGTTTATCGGAAGATGTATTTGGTTGGGAGAAAGAAGCAACCAATGAGATTGGAGTGACCAGAGTTCAGATGTTTGGATAAATTAACTACAGAAAACAATATTTAAAGATTATGCAAAAGATTGGAAACTATTTTAAAAGTGCATTAGAAATTTAAGAAGTACTCAAGGTCAGAATAATATTAATTAAAATTCAAATCAAAAATTAAAGTAATCATTGCAAATTTCGAACGAGTTACAAATATGGAGAATGAAAATCTACAAACGTAAACCTAGTATGAAATGAACGGCGGGGATAGACAAAATTTCAGTGGAAAGCTGAATCTTGACTGTCTTGGTTGTATTTCATACAGGTGAGATAATTTTCTAAACTTGCGCGGTTTTTTCACATGGCTTAATTTATTTACAGATAACATTTTCACACAACAAGCTCACAACAATAATGGTTAAATCATCCACCTTATCCATTAAGACTGACTATCACTCGATTACGTCTACCCCGTTAAATTGTCAAAACTAATCTGACCGAATTTTACGTTTTCCGTGGAAATATATATACTGCGGATGCGTACTCCCCGTCGGGGTCTCATCTACAGAACTCTGGCGGAAGTTTGGATGCTGCAACGTTATAAAGTGGGCGGAGCTCTTTTTGATTGATCGTGTCACAAATCATTTAGAGAACTCGACAGGTTCTGTATCTAGATACAAATTTGGGGAAGGAGACTCGTGCTACGCACTTGTCCACCCCCAAATTTGTATCTACGATACAGAACCCGTCTCGTTCTCTAAATAATATATAGAAAAAAGACAAGAAAAGTCTAAAAATAAAAAAAAGAAAGACATTTAGAACTGTGAAAAAGCTTAAGGGTTTGAAATCTAGTTTTCACGTCACTTGACGTCAAGTGATTGCTCCGTGAATCCTATGACCTCACAGAATTTTAGTAGTGGACCTAATTTTTACATACAAATATACAAAAGATAGTAATCTAATCAGACAAAGGTCATACTTCACAATACTCAATAGATTTTCCGTAAATCAGTCAATAAATATATAATCATTAATGATGATTGTTTTATGCTTCAGTCATAAAATCTAATCATGGACCCCCATACCAGTGCCCAGGACGTGATGCGATGTAACCTGTGTGAGACCGCTTTGATACAAATGCACTGTAATACATGTCTTGTCAACCTGTGTAAAGCCTGTGTGGGAGAACATGTTTCAGCTGATCTCTCAAAACCTCATAAAATTGTTGACTTCAAGGACAGGAAATCTACTCCCATCCACCCTAAATGTAAATCTCATAACAAAGAACGATGTGATATGTACTGTAAAAAATGTGCCATTCCTGTCTGCAGCAACTGCCTTGAATCTAATCAACATTTAGGTCATGAATTATCTAAAATCTTGAGAGTTCTGAATGAAAAGAAGGGATTGATTATAAAAGAAAGAAAGAAATTAAATGAAACAATTTATCCCATGTACCAAAACATTGCCTCTGATGTACAAAACAGAATGAGTCAGTTAGAAAAGGAATATGGAGATCTCTCAACAGCCATAACAAAACACGGAGAGGACTGGCACAGAGAAATTGACAAACTTGTCAAGAGACTTAAGGCTGAAGTTGATGAGATGAAAAACACACAGTTACAAACTCTACAGAAACATCTGGATGAAATAAACAAGAACATTTCTGAAATCAAGGATGAAATAAATTCAATGGAAACTGCAATAGATACCAATGACATGTCAAAACTATTAAATGTCATGTCAAACCTACACACGTACAGAAATCTTCCACACAAAATTATACCATCTGTACCTAAATTCATTCCAGGAAAAATCCAAGGGGAAGAACTTAGTAAAATGTTTGGAGCCTTATCATCAAGTTCTTTAACATCAGAAAAACATGGCTACAGCATGAAAACAACACAGAAATCACCAGAAGTTAGATCCTCTCCTCCAGTCAAACAGCTTCTGGATGAACCAGAGACTGTCACAACCATAGATACTTGGAATGATCAACTTTACAACGTGGCATGTCCGAGTGATGAAGAAATCTGGACAAGAGGAAATGATAGAACCATGAACCTCTACAGCATCAATCAGGGATCACTACTCAAGTCAATCAGAACCAAGTCAGGGAACATACCATACGACATAGCAGTTACCAAAAATGGAGATCTAGTTTATACTGATTATCATGATAGAACTGTGAACATTGTAAAGAATGAGAAGATAGAAGATGTGATCAGACTACAGAACTAGAGACCTAAAGGTGTCTGTAGTACCTCCTCTGGTGACCTCCTAGTCATCATGATCAGTGATGATGACAAACAATCAAAAGTTGTCCGTTACTCTGGTTCAATAGAGAAACAAACCATTCAGTTTGATAATGAACGTAAACCTCTCTATTCAGTTGGTATTTATTATTACAAATTCATTACTGAGAACAAGAACCTGGATATCTGTGTGTCTAATGATGAAAGTAGAGCAGTAGTGGTGGTAAATCAGGCCGGAAAACTGAGATTCAGGTACACTGGACATACTCCTGCTCCAAAGAACCAATCATTCAGTCCACAAGGAATCATCACAGACAGCCAGAGTCACATCCTTACAGCTGATTATTACAATGACTGTGTCCACATCATAGACCAGGATGGGCACTTCCTCCGTTATATAGACTGTGGACTGAGTCTACCAAGGGGACTATGTACAGATACAAATGACAATTTGTTTGTTGCTCAATGGAGCAATAAACAAGTGAAGAAAATCAAATTTTTACAATAAAATGCATAAATTTGTTGCATTCTATTTGTATACAATGGAATCTGTAAATACCTAATATTTTAGTCTTATTCAGTTATTAACATAAGATAATTCTTGTGTATTAATACGTTATGCCCACTCTCTTTTACTTCATTAACTGGAATACCAAAGGGATATCAGCAAATGACATTATTAGTTATCCAGGTTCAAACAAGGGTGTACGGGGATTTACCCCGGGTTTTATTCCCTACACCCTGAGGCCGACGGGGATTTATCCCGGGTTTTATTCCATAGACCGTGAAGCCGAAGGGTGTATGAAACATATAGAGATAACGAACAGTATTCAAGATTAAAAGTCCCCAAAACAAAGCAAAAATAGGAGCAGAGCAAACACCGACCTTTAAAACATCAGATGTGGGATCAGGTGTCATGGAGGAATGGGCATCCCCTGCCCACTGGTCACACCCGTCGTGTGCTTCTTGTTACGATCGGGAAAAAATAATATGGATTAACAATTAGTATAAAAACGTCAGTCAGTATTTGACGCAATGCTAATTTGCTGACAAGGTCATTGTATCGACCATAGAACTTATGAAAGGATGACTTTAAACCAGACTGCTGATATTTTTGTTTCACTAACTTGTTTTTCAATAATCTACCTCGTTTTAGATATTGTTCCTACGTAGAGCATGCTTTTGCGTATCGAATCAACTGAGATACATAAAATTCGTATGCAGATGATGAAAGTATATTGCTACATAAGTTAGAGAAGTTGAATATAGAATGTTAAAGTCATCACGTTTATCATATAGAGCTTGGTTGTCAGATTACCATTAACGTCTTTTTCAAGTAAAGTATCCAAGTATGAAACAAGTGTGTCAGACTCTGTGTTATCTTTTATATCGTATCAACATAAGAATGGAAATTACAATTGTTAATTGACAATACGTATGGAATACAACCCGGGGGTAAATAAGAACTTGGAAATTACAATTGTTAAAAATTCTTTGAAAACATCATCAACTGTGTCTCATTCTATCGAAAAGATTCACTACGTACTACAATGCATCGTGACGTCATGTTATTTGGTTTTTATCATAGAAAAAGTATATATATAAAATCATATGCATATAAAAGCATATAAAATTTACGTTTTATTTACCTATTATTTGGCCTAACCAACAAAAAGTGCACATCCCAAAATGAAAATATTTATGCAATTTTGATCTGATACTTTAGAATAGACCTATATAAAAACTTCAAACTAGTTCTTTTTCATGAAAATCTTATTAAAATCCAGCATCTGAAGCAAATTTGAAAGTTTTCATCTCTTGATGCAACATTTGTGCAAGTTTGGTTTATGCAATGTTATATAAGGCTGTCAGTTTTTTGGTAGTAGACCTGCACCCTTACCTTTTACCTGGTCCATTATCTGAAAAATGTATGTCGAATTCATGTTAGTTTGCATTTTTATCGTCCATGCAAGTTTGCTCATTAAGCTCATATATATATAAAATAACTTTTTCACTTATCCACAAAAAAGCATATAAAATTTACATCCTTATATGTATCATCCATGCAAGTTTGATTACTAAAGAGCTCAAGTCGGGTGAACGGAAATTTATACCAGAGTCTGTAATGCATAAGTCTGCATTCTGTCTGTAACCAATAAAAGCTCATGTTACAAGCTACATAAGAAATAATTATATCCAGGCCTCTGGTGTATGAATACAACCTTTGGAAAATCTCCCTCCTCACTTGATTGGACCTGTATAACGAATTTTTTTTCTAAACAAATTCTTTGTAAACGTAAGTCTAGTCAACTATGTCTCAACATATCGATAAGATTTACAACGAACTGCAATACATCGTGACGTCATGTTATTTGCTTTAGAAAAAAACTATGACGTCACGCTCAAGTCGGATGCACGGGAATTTACACCCGACTTTGTAACCAATCAAAGCTCGTGTTGCAAGCTACATAGGAAATCATGTTATTTAACTCGGCTCAAGTCGGGTGCACGGAAATTTACACCTAACTTTGTAACTAATCAAAGCTCGTATTACAAGCTACACAGGGAATCAGAACTTTGATTAAAATTTTTTATCATCCTGTATACGTATTATGTTTTTGCATTGTACATCCTATTTAGAAATAAATCTTTTCAAAACGTTTCCTGTAGGAATCAAGCGCAAAGTTAAAAAAAGAGATTGACAAAGAACTTTTTCACTTGGGGAAGTTTGAAATTTTCGAAATTAATATATGCGTAGATATTACCTGATTAAGAAATACAGGAGAATTCCGACAAGAATGGCGCCTAGTAGAGAGCCGAGTACTATGGCGGCGATGGTTGCGCCGTCTAGAGAAGAGTTTATAGCTACAGTGGTGGTGGTGGTAGAGAGCGTGGTGGTGGTGGTCTCTATATAAATCATATTGACTGTCGTCGTGGAACTTAGAGCTGGTGTCCCTTTATCGGTAGCCGTAACCAAATATCTAATCTGTTGTTAAAGAAATAATTTTACCTTTGAAAAAGAACATTTGAAAAATACAACTCATTTTGATTTGTAAATGATACCCTTCTTAAATGGCATGAAGGATATATTGGACAATAAGTGATGTATGTATATAAGAAATAAAAAAAAAATCTTCTGATGTATACATTGTAATCTATTCAAATTGAACAGTTCCTTATCTATTTTAAGACAGCAATATTTAGGATCTGGCAAAGCTTTTCTGCTTAAAAAAATGAAACAGTTGTCCTGATTAGAATTTTCCTAGAGCATTTATATTTAGCAGTCATCATGCAAGTAAATGCAGCCTTTCTAATACGTGTTATCAAATTTCGTTATCCCAGACTCGATTAGACCAAGGGAACACCGGGTATCCCTGGATAGATATATCGAGGATGAAATACTAAACTTAGGTGATTGTAACTTCCAAATTGGTGAATGTTTGAGATACCGTACTTCAACTGTCAGTATTGTCTAGATATTAGCTGAAAAGCATACCGCTGTTCCGTAGGAGAGACCAGTTCTGGATAAAAAGTAAACTCCACAGGCTGTCCCCACCGTGTAGTAGGTGTTGGTTTGGGTTGCACTATTTGCCAGACTTCCACCACAGTTGAATTCGGCGTTACTGCCACTGTCTTTGTCCGTAATCGTCATTTGACCGATAGCACTTCCCAGACCGGTATACTGGTCGGCATAAAATGTATAAGTTCCTTGAGAAAATTCCGGTACATTGTCATTTGCATCCTGAGATATAAATGGTAAAAGGACAATTTATTACAGGGACGTCACTGGCAACTTTTTTGAAGAGTATATGAGAATCAATTATACCTTTTAGAGTTAAGGCACTTAAATATTTAGGACATAATTTTATGTACTTTCGATAGAAGAAAATTTTCTACAATATATAACCACTTGTAAATGCGTTAACTAAAAATGTTATTATAGTTTTCTGTTCTAAGAATACTTGAAATTTTTCTTTCATTTACATGTACTTATAAGCTCGGCAGTGTACCCTAATAGTCATAAAAAGCAATGTAGTTCCTGTTTTCCCGAGCGAGTCTGTACACTGAACTGTCAACTGCACGGAAGAGGGCATTGCATTTTGATCTACGTCATAATCCACAGCATAGGTCATAATCCCCGAGGTGCTGTCGATTTGAAATCGTTCACTATTGTTTCCATTTACTAAGGAAAGTGAGTACGCCTGAGTTCCATCATAGTCGCGAACCACGAAATTAGGAGTAATGGTCTGACTTCCAACCTTGCACGATAAAAACAAGAATTTCGTCAGTGTATCATTTGAGACTATGTTTTTGAAGTATTATTTTCTTATATGACTGTTATGTTTATTATTTGTTGATTATACGTGGAAGAAACAACGACGGAAAAACAACAATAACAACAAAAGAACAAAGAAAAAAAAAGTAAAAAAAGTCCACCTACCGTGCCTTCTAGTACGCTGATATAATAAGCCTGTCTGTCAAAGTAGCATTCTTCGTTTACATTAAGCACATTCACAGTCAACGGATAGGGCCCGTTTGTGCTCTTTCCATCAGATATCGTAAACGAAACGTTGTAACGAGACAGAGTTTCAAAGTCCAATTTTCCAGTAGATGACAGCTTAAACTGACCGTCTTTAATGTATTATTTAAAATGTTTTAAAATGATAAATTAACTTACAAGACTTCTGTCTTCATAATGGAAGCCTTTAGAGTACAAAATCAATTATAACTTTAAGAATTATGAAAAATACTCAAAGATTCAGAACAAGTGAAGCCAAAACGAATACTTACTTGTAGAATCAAACGAAAAAAGACCTTGCGCACTGATTGGACTAACAGTGAATGTGTAGGTCAAAGGGTCAGTTACATCGAGATCCTGTGACGTCACCGTAAAGATGACGGTGTCAGGTGCAATGTCTTCATCAACAGATACTGAGGCTGGGAGGTTGGTTATGTTTGGTTGGTTATTTAAGTCTAATCAATCAAAAAGAAAAAATAGGTGATTAAATTTGATGACTACCCATTGGTTTTTTTTTTGCCACAGAATCTATAAAAAATCAATGTTACATAAGGGTACCACTAACCTGAATATCCTCTTACACAAGTGCACCCCGATATAAATAATTACTTACGTAAATTCCAGTACATGTACCATGCACTCACTAGTATACTCAACCCCCTATAGACGCGTTACTTCATTCCCAAACTTCGTTGGAATGGATAACTAAGATCTATATTATCTTCAATATCACATTATATTAAAATTTGAAAAATGAATAAGATATGTTATATAGAATTTTATTTGAAATTTTATTTGAATATCATTTTATGAGTAGACATCTAAAAAATATTATTCACTTACTTAAGATATCTATGCTTAGAAGGGTCTGTACAGAAATTAGTCCGTCTGTGACAGAAATATACAGGTCTATTGGACTCTGGGTTTCGTCCAGCAAGGTCCGCGTAGTCCGCACCTGTCCGCTACCTGTATGGGTATAAAGGGATAGCACTTTTAAAATTCAAAACCTTGTGCATAAGTTCACTGTTTGTAATTGCAATGCTTAAAAAAGAACTTTAGAATTTGCTGTGTATAAAGTTAGATTTAGCTGCAATAATGTAGCCCTCTCCCTTTTTGGGGGGGGAGAGGGCTACAACTCCTTAGATTCTCCGTAATGGTGCAATGCGGGACCATCGGCTCAAATTGTCAGTAAACGGCTATTTAATTGACATGTCTTACCCAGACTTCCAAAATGTAGTTAAATTTAATTACCTGACATAAATCGATCCAAAAATATACAGGAGAATCCATGTATCGCATATTTTTCGTGTCTCATGTCAACATCACAATTAAATTCATCTGCCATGTTCACTGACCTTGACAGATTTTATTTTGGGGCAGCCAATTAGATTAAGGATCTATACGGAGCGGATTTCTCTGGAATTACCTTATTTTAAGACTAAATATTGCTGTTAACGTAAAAATAACACATGGAATGGTTTTATTTATCAATTTTTACTGATGCTACATGTATTCATTACAATTATTTATAAACACCGACACCTGCTTTATTGAGTTATTCTAAATTTCAATCGCGTCTCAGTACGTCACGCGTGAACTGTCATGGCTGCTAAGTAGAAGCGACAGAAAAACACTGAGATTCATTTTACATGGTTTTCGCATTAAACGGGCTATGTTGTCGACAGTGATTAAACATCTCGTCTAATTAGAAGTAAATTGAATGTAAAAACAATTTATTCTGACTGCAGTCGCCCGTATTAAAAATATTTTTGCACCATTACGGAGATGCTGTGGAATTGTAGCCCTCTCCAGAAAACATCAGATAAAACAAGATGTGTTTGTGAAACACTATGCGCCCGGCGGCAAAAAAGTTTTAAAAAGCTATTCATAGCATATAGGACACAGTCAAAGTCACAAGATTATTGACCTTGGTGTCATTTGAAAGAGCATAATTAATGGAGTATGCATACCATATATGAACTGTTTTTCTCCTATGGTTCTAAAGATATGGCAAAAGTTTTGGAAAAGCTATTTTTAGCATAAGGGTCACAGTCAAGGTCACAAGGTCATTGACCCTGGTGTCATTTAAAAGAACTTCATTAGTGAAGTATGCTTACCAAATACGAAGTCTCTATCTCATATGGTTCAAAAGTTATGGCAAAGGTTAAAGTTGACAACAGACAGACAGACAAACAGATAAACAGACAAACAGATAGAACAACAAGAAACAGCTCACCTGAGCACACAAAAACATTTGAATCTACATACCTGAGGATGATTCCATATAAATATCACTAATCATAGCTTTGAAGTACTTGAAAAGAAAATTTTTAAAGGTTTACCTCTATATACCTATGTAAAACTTGGGTCGGCGATTTTGGCCCTACCCTAGCCCCGGGGGTCATGATTTGAACAAACTTTAATCTAAACTACCTGAGGATGATTCCACATGAGTTTCATCTTTCCTGGCCCAGTGGTTCTGGAGAAGAAGATTTTTAAAGATTTTTCCTATATATTCCTATGTAAAACTTGGGTCGGCCATTTTGGCCCCACCCTAGCCCCGGGGGTCATGATTTGAACAAACTTGAATCCACACTACCTGAGGATGATTCCACATGAGTTTCAGCTTTCCTGGCCCAGTGGTTCTGCATGGAGAAGAAGATTTTAAAAGATTTTTCCTATATATTCCAATGTAAAACTTGGGAGAGTTAGCCCCGGGGGTCATGATTTGAACAAATTTGAATCTACATTACCAAAAAAATTCCTGGCCCAGTGGTTCTTAAGAAGAAGATTTTTTAAAAATGCCATTAATTTTTCTCTAATTCATAATTATCTCCCCTTGGAAAAGGGCGTAGCCCTTTATTTGAACAAAGCAAGGATACTTTGTGCCAAGTTTGATTGAAACAGCCCTTGAGAAGAAGTCGAAAATGTGAAAAGTTTACGACGACGACAACAACGACAACGACGACAGACGGACAAATTTTGATCAGAAAAGCTCACTTGATCCTTCGGCTCAGGTGAGCTAAAAACATTATACGCCTCGGATCTATCGATCCCGGATCATAAAAAAATTGGAGAAGAGTACATTATTGCAGCTAAGTTAGGTTGGGTGTCCTTTCTCTATGATTATTTGGTTGTAATAACTAAAAAAAAACTTTGAGCAGTAGGAAAGTAACATATACATATTGTATAAAACATTTTTGTACATACATAAAACGAGAGTTGTTTTTATAATTAATTCAAAAAGATTTGCTCTTATGCTAAAATTCAATTACTTACTGGAATCGATAGAAAAGCAGTTTGTGTTTGGAACAGCCCTTAGAGTATAGGTCAATGGGGAGTGGTTGAGCAAATCACGTGATGAAACTGTATACACAAGTTGATTGGCTGTAGCTGTCCTTGCATCCACAGACACAACATCTTTAAGAAATGATTTATTGGATTATTTATATATTTTTTCTTTTTTAAAGAAAAAACTTTGTCAGAAAGTGATAATAATTAATCATTGAAACTCAAGTTATTGCGTGCGCATGTACCGGAAGTACCAGTAAATTGAGGCGTTGTGGAATAATGCACTTCGAGATTATCCTCCGGTACTAGGCTTACACCTTATGGTGATTAAAATCACTGCGTGGCAAAATCAAACATGACGTTTGGAGACGCTGCCGTACCAGGTGAGGCGTTGTGGGCATAAACTCCATAGGCTTAAATTACATAATAATTGTCCTGTCATTAAATAAATGAAATTTATAAATAAAGCTGTGAGATAAGAATAATAAAAATATGAAAGCATTCATGAGGAAGATTAAGGTAGTGAAATGTGTTCCTGTATCTTTTCTTGATGTCCGCAGATGTACTCATAGATGGCATTGAACTCTTATTCAAAGTTCACCATTCAGGGTAGTATAACTTGCTATTGAGATTTTCGAAATATTGCTTATTGGTTAGTTAAAAAAAAGGAAAAATATCTTACTTCCAGTTTTTGGATCTATCAGAACCCTGAACTCTGTTTCTGTCCGAGCAAGAGTAGGGGTTGTTCCAGCAGAATTGCAGACATAGGCGTCATTGTTGACGTCACTAACCGTAAGCGTATAGATTAGACGGTTTTCGTATTCTTTCTCCCCAACATTCACAGAAGTTGGTAAACCACTAAAAATCGGAGGCTACAAAATTCAAAAAATTATTCCGCTCGCGCATGTATTTTAAATAAACACAAACGCTTTTTCCATCAGTATTTGATTTTAGAACTAAAATAAGTTGTTTATTAAAATTAATTCTTTATTAAAAATTCTTCCTCGACCACTTTCACTTTTGTTTTTCTTGTTTTCTACTAAAGTTAAACTGTTATTGAATGAAAAACAGACAGACGGACGGACATACAGTATACCCTCCCACTTTTCAAGCGGGGTGTATAATAAAACATTTGCTTGCATGTGAAATTAATATATAAGAGGAAAAAATAGAAAATAAGATATTTTTTATAAGAAAGAAAGTGAAAAAAATAACGAAAATAAAATAATGTTTTCCCTCTTAATTAAAATGTTTGCATTTCAAAAGAAATATTCTTAACAACTATAAAACTGTGAAAAGTCTTACTTTTAATGATCCTTTCGAAAAGTATAATTCGTCAGTTTTACTTACCGTTGCAATTGAAAATGGAGATAAAATTTGACACAGAGCTAAGATTTTTATTTGATGGTCCATATTTTTCTCATTCACAATTTTTACATGCTCATTGCTAAAACTTCGTTACCTTATAAACTTATGGGATCAACAAGGGCAGAACATTGAAGTTTGATAATTAAGATTCGGGTTTACTGCTCTAATCCTTTCCATATAACTGAACAATATTTTACAATTTTATTTCATTTGCCAAAATGACCACGAAAACTAAATTGGTTCAAGGTACTATTCAGAAGCAATATTTACAGAAAGGGACCTATTCAAACTTTTCATGCCTTTCTAATCAAAAAAGTGCAAGTTTGAAAAAGCTTTTGTGATGTAGACGTGTATCAATTTTTTCAGAAGCAATGGGGATTCTCCCATTTTTTTCTTCTTGATTAGACCCGCTTTGAGGAGGTCAACGTTTTATTTAGCAAATACAAGATAGAGCGCGGGGTTAGTCTACAGAATTAAGCAATTTACATATTTGTAAGTGCAGAACATTTTATGCCTAAGTCGCTGAATAAATAAAGGAATAGATATATCTTTATGAATAAATAGATAAATAAATAAATATTTTATCAATACACGATGAATATCAATAAAGAGAAAATATTTTTTGATTATTACCGTTGTCTATTTATTGACTTCTTATTTGTTATGAATAAAAATAAAGATTCAAAATATTTTAATACTGAATCATGATATTGTAATTTTTTTTAACCCCAAAACGATATTTTAAACATTAATTTTTACTTTGAGAAACTTGTTTTATTTACTAACCTGTGTAATAACCGTGGCAGAAACATGACCGAGATGGAGTGTGGGGTTGGCGGATGGAGGTTGGATGGGTAACACCGAATTTATAAATGTACAGTGGTTGGGAAATATTGACTTCATCTGGAAATCTAACTCATGCCCACTTTTTCCTTTTCAAATGACAAACTTCTTAAGAATCACTTTTCAATTTGTAATACTTTTAAGTAAACATTCCAGTCATCGGAAGTGAGTTTGATCTGATATAACTATATTTGGAATCTAAAACTTCTTAAATATTCTTACAAACAAAAGCACATTGCAGATTGAAAATGCTCTACCTTGGCTTATTTTTACTCCACTGAAAAATATCAGCTGCTATGAAGGAAAAATGTAAGACGTACGTATACTATATGGCATTAATAGTGATAGTCGCTTCAGCCGAACTGGTTATTAGTACACTGTACATGTATATGCTCTTACTTTGTTAATGGTTGCGAATATTGTACATGTAGAAAAACACGTAACCCGCATGTGGGGTCATATAGATAATGTCTTAGCAATAACAAAAACAGTAGCATTATTTGTGTTGTATAAATAATCATATAAGGTAGGTTAGGACACGTAAAATCTGTAAATATTTGTCTGTATTTCATGACATAGAAGATTTCATCGCTTAATGGACACTACTAAAATATTATTTGATTGAGTTAGAGAATTAATTTTCATAAGAAACAAATTAGGAAATATTATTAACATATCTTTCGGGAAAAAAACTTGTTCAAAAACTTCTATATAAGCAGAAGAAAACTTCTGCCCATTAACTATCGAAAATTTTAACTACACTTTTATTATATCTGAACGAATTTGAAATCAGACTCCATAGATTTTGTCAATTCTTTTTGAAATATCTAGTTGCTTTTCTAACTAAAGACGCTGAAAGCCACTTAACAAACTACACTGCTTCAACTCTTTCATCACAACGCCCTTCATTTATGAAACAGTATTCCAAGTTTGCCTGATGGTCGTTCTTATTTCCTTCGCAAGACAAGAGTGTGATCCATTTGTAACCGAGACAGGGTCAGAACTATAGAAAAGAACCCATTCAAAATTTCATGCCTTTCTAATACAAAAAGTGCAAGTTTATAAAAGCTTTTGGGATGTAGACGTGTATCAATTTTTTCAGAAGCAATGGGGATTCTCCCAATTTTTTTCTTCTTGATTAGACCCGCTTTGGGGAGGTCAACGTTTTATTAAGCAAATACAAGATAGAGCGCGGGGTTCGTCTGCAGAATTAATCAATTTAAATATTTGTAAGAGCAGAACATTTTATGCCTAAGTCACTGAATAAATAAAAGAATAAATACTTCTTTATAAATAAATAAAGAAAGAAATACTTTATCAATACATGATGAATATCAATGAAGGAAAAATATTATTTTTTTTGATTATCACTGGTTTCTTTTTGTTGATTTCTTTATTGTTATAAATAAAAATTAAGATTCAATTTAAATATTCAAATTATATTGAATTGTGAAATTTTACATTATTTATTCAAAATGATTTTTCTTAACATTAATTTTTCACGTTGGCGAAACATACATTGAAACTTGTGTAATAACCGTGGCAGAAAAATCGGAAGTGAGTTTGATCAGATATATCTATATTTGGAATCTTAAACTTCTTAGATATTCTTACAAACAAAGACTGTAGGTTATAAATATGCTCTACTTAGCTTATCTTTTCTCCCCCTGAAAAATATTAGCTGCTATGTAGGAGAAATGACAAACGTACTTATATTGTGCTGTTGCACTTGGCATTAATGTTGATTGTTACTACAGCCGAACTGGTTACCAGTACACTGTATATGACCTAACTTTGTTAATGGTTGCAAATATTGTAGAAAGACACATAACCCGCGTTTGGAGTCATATAGATTATGTCTGAACTGGTTGCAGTCTTTTCTCCAGCAATAACAAAGAATTAAAGAGTGGCATTCTTTCGTGTTGTATAAATAATTATATAAAGTAGGTTAAGGTTCGTAAAATTTTTGTCTGTATTTTATAAACACACAACAGTGAAGATTTATTGCTTAATAGAATCTATATTATTGTTTTAAAGAAACCTCACTGCTCCGTTGTCCTAAGAGTCGAGAAAGCCCTTACCGCTGTACCTTGACGCATGTTTCCACATGGATGAAAAATTCTTGATTGGGACGTGAAACAACAAACAGTCATAAATTTGAATAAACAAAGAAAAAACATAGAAAAATCAAACCTAGTTTATTCTCTGAGACTCAAACAATAAAATCATTTGAACATGTACATATCTAATTCTATGGAATGATGCTTAATTTTCGATGTATACAATGTATTAATTCAGTTACCTGTTAATTTTAATTTTAAAAAATTATAGGCAGATTATGTTTTTATTTTTCATTCAGAATCAACTGAAAAACACAATCTGGTTTAAATATTCCAAAGAGATAAGATATTTGTTCTGACGTTAATACGATGCTAGTACCACTCCTAATATTGGACACCAATTCAAGATACTCTCCTTTCTGGTATAAAACACTAATGTTAGAATATACTACTGCTAAATTTCCGATTGTCTCCTGATATATTGTCTCCTGATATATTTCTACTTCAGGAGAACGTTATAATGAATCTTTGAATTTGGACATCGCCAATAAGGATGATTCTTCATTGTTAGAGTTTCGTTGATTGCTTTCAATCTCTTGCGCTCTACAAAATGAGAAACAAATGTAAATAAAACATGCAATATATACACACTTTGATCGTTGTCTAAAAATATGTCTTAAAGCATAGGAAGAGAAAAATGGATCGATATTGGACCTATGGTGCGTGTTCCATACTACACTATACCTTCCTAAAGTCAGCTTTACTTTACCATACGTAGAGTTTTGTTACGATGAATGAATGTGATATAAAAAATAGTACATTATTTTTACTTATCCAAATTCATACATCTACAATGAAGATTACTTACTCATAAAATTTGATTCCATCTTGAACACTTTCTGGTAGCTTTCTGTGTTGACTTTCAGGTACTAACAGAACTAGAAGCCCCGCCGAGACAGATATTACACCAAAGATTACCAGTGGCAATGCGGTGGAAAAGTCACCATCGATCAACGCACCCTTTGAAAAATAACATCTGATTCGTCATATCTCTGAATTTTAATGTGATAAAACATGTGTATTTTATAAATCCTGATTATAATTCCAATCAACAATAAATTGCTACTGAGTCACTAGAGACCTCACAATGTCAAGATTAAGGTTTTGAGACTACAACACTAGATAAAATAAATATACTGGTTGTTTTCCAAAATGATGATATATAGATATGACTACATACACGTACGTATTTCCATCCAAAATATTATAAATTGAAGTAATTCAATGAAATTCACATACAGAGGATGCAACGTATGGAGCCAGCATACTCCCCACCCTGCCGACACACGATCCGCCACCAAGGGCAGCATTCCTGAGGACTGTCGGGTAAAGTTCAAGAGTCATGACGTAGATCACAGAAAATGCTGCCGTAGACCCCACTTTACCAAAAAGTGAGAGGGTTGTTGTAAGCCACGTAAGATCTTAAATTAGAAAAAAATCTTTTTCAAGCTTGCTGAAAACTGTTGCTATGAGGAATTTAAAATCAACAATATTTGTTGGATAAACAATTTCCGATTCTTACCCTCTCCTCCAAACAAGATGGTAAATATAGTACATATAGTTGCTACTCCTCCAAACACCATAACCAGACATTGGAGTCCCTTTCTTCCTATCCTGTCCATCGTTAGAATCACAAACACAAGTGCAGGGAACTCAACAATTCCGTTGAGAAAGAAGTTTAAGTAGAAATTTCCACCTATATTTCCAGCGTGCATTGTCACTCCAAAGTACATCAGAGCCACCGCAATCCTAAAACACATGCCTAAAGAATGAATTTTCTTAACGTCTAATGACATGATACCAATAAAACGAGAACTTTTTCTGTTTGGCCTCAATTAGTCCCAAAATTATGGGAATTTTATTGAAAAATGTTGACCATGGAACGTTTGTCGTTTGTACACCTTTTCATATATTTTTTTTCCCAATCACAAGGGCATTTTTATACTAATGTACCATACAGAACGTATTCATATTCAATGTAAGCAATCGGCATTTTTAAAAGGAGACAACTTCATTATGGGTAGATTTGCCTAACAAATACAGGACCATGTAAAAAATGTGAAATTTTATAATTCAAACAACACACAGAATAAAGGGAAAAAAATTGGGCCAACATTTTTTTTTTTTAAATTTCCTAATTCAAAAAAAATGCATGTGTATAAACCAATGTGCATTTAAAGCATTGCCTACCAATTGTAAAGGAGAATTGTTGTTCGAACAAACATTTCTTTTGTGGAGAAAAGATGCCACAATTTCACCTTAGCCTCTTCACCTTCGATTGTAGAAGGATGGATAATTTTTTCAGGTAGTTTTACTTTGTTAACTTTTCCTGCCTTCTGGATAATTTCCTCGGCCTCATCATACCGACCTGTACTCATAAGCCAGCGAGGAGATTCGGGTATCAACCTGTTCAAATAGACAGAAATAAAACAGCTAGAATACTCATCGAGAAATGAAAGGAAATAATGCAACGAGTAATGATAAACGCTGTGAAAGAGTCTTTTCTGAAAGAAAAAACATGATAAGTTTAGTAAACTGAAAAGAATTCTCCAGTTAGTTTTTAATGTATCGTCGTTTCACATCGTCCAAATAATGGCATTTAAATGAAAAATCGGTAGACCCTGGTTTGCAATATTATCTTTTCAAATATATCTATTCATTATTTACTTAAACTATCACCCTGTCCATTACAGTAGTATGTATTTGAAAGCAATTCTAGGTCAGGGAAATCCACATTGGTTCAATTGGAGAGACCCTCCCTTTCTACGGAAAGTTAGTGAAAGAAAAACAGGCTGCAAACCATGAGATCTTTTATCGAGAATGGTATCGCAAATACCTTATTAAATTCGTATTTAAAAGCTCCCTTTTAAAGTAATTAAAAATATTATTGTTCAAACTAAAAACCCTTTAGCAAGGGCAAAGCTAGTGTGTACTAAGTGTAACATAGCAAATGTCAGATAAATATTTCAATAAATATTATTTTAAAGTTATTTTAAATGTCAGTACGGTTCAAATGAAGGTTATACAGATCACAATTCTCGTGGCATGGACAAAGCCATGTATAGATGCTTAATTTCATGTTAGAAAACTTAAAAGAAAATCTGTTATAAAAAAAGTCTTCAAATTAAAATGTTGTCAATCTGATCGGGCCTAATAAAGACTTATGAATCAGTTATGTTCAAGTACACCGGTATACCAAATAACGACATGATGAGTTTTACGTACGATACTAAATGTTTGAATCAAAAAAGATTTACTCAAGTCAAACTCTCATTAGTATGAGTGAAATATAAAGATAATGAATAATGTTCAAGCTCTAGGTCCATTTAATCAAAAATCGGGAGCAGGGGAAACACAGACCTCCAAAACAGAAGTGAAATCGTGTGCCACGGAGGAGTGATAATCCCCTACTGACCGGTCCTATTTTATCTATTCTTTACATAATACATCGAACAAAGATGGTCCATTGTTGTCTATGTAAATGAGAGAAATGGCCATGGGTTTTGTTTTATCATGATGCAGGTTTGTGCTAGATTGTAATGAACCTGCAAACAAAGGAAATATTTGATTAACAAATTTGTGAAAAACAACAAGTTCATAGATAGAAATATAAAAGAGACATCAAACCAAACATTCAAAATACAATCAAACCAGACTTAATCATCAACACACCATCGGGAACCCACCAGAATCCTTGCCGAGTGATTTTACCCTCGGTCCTTCCAACTCTTGTTCTGACCTCCGTGATTATATTTATTATGAGAAACAAATATCACACTTCAGTTGAAAACACCTGGGTAAGGAAAGAAATAAAACGTCTTTAACAAGTATTGTTCACATAGTATTAGAAAACTGTAAACATTAAAAACATTAAACAAGAGGCCCACGGGCCTTATAGGTCACCTGAGTATCATGTAACAACTTTACAGCGATCGTAATTGGTTCCTGTTTTAATCCAAAAGCCATGAAATTCACAAATTTTGAAAGAGGCACCATTGCTTATCAAAGGGCAGATTTCAAAGCATTAATTTATATTTAGTCAAAGTACCCCCATGGTACCCCTGACCCAGTGGCCCTGAATTTATCTATTTTGAAAGAGGCCCCTCTCTTCATTATAAGGCCAGCATTTTTTTTTTTTATGTTTAGGTTTTGTTATGAACATGAGAATAAAAAAGTCCCGAAGGAAAAGGAAATAAAAAAAAATTTGATAAATCCATTGTACATTCTTTTTTTATGCTATTCTAATAGGCTCCTTACCACTGGACACATAATGCTTACAAATAGGAAAGTAGAACATTTAATTGCTTATTTCATCATCTGCCAGTTTGGGCCAGTTATATAAATTTTGTGATGTTGGTCAAAATATATTTTAAAAAATCAATTCTTTAAAAGTCTTTCAATATATCTTCATTTTTCTAATATGTGCTAGGTGAATGTGTAGACATTGTTCTAAAATTACTTGATGCCTAAAATTATAATTCCTATCATAAAACAGACAGGGAGTATTGGGGAGTAGGGTGAACATTTTTTCAATTAAGTGTAAAATAAATTCTCTGGCTGATACAAATGATACTACATGCCTGTATATATTTGTATATTCTTGCCTTTTAATAGTTGAATTTTTTTTTATTTCTTCAGGTTATTGTTCATTTCTTCTGACCTCAAATGGACTTAACTTCTCCCATAGTTTTATTCATTACAGCTGATGCATAAGCAACCCTTATCTGAAGAATGATGCTTACACTGTAAGCTATAACAGAGACCTAAACAATGTCGCTGGCAATATGCAATAGCTACCATGGGGGAGGAAAATAATTTACAGACAGAAACTTTTGAAACGAATACATAATTATCTCACCAGCATGTCATTGTGCAACAAAGTCGTCAGCATTTTATTTGTCCTTTGAACGGGTGAAACGTTTTGAATGGCACTTGTATCGATGAATTTTACACTAAACCAAGCTTTCTTCTCAGATGTAGCTTTATTTACCCACCGTTTCATCTTAAAACCGGAAGTGCAAGTTCGTGAATTTGAAAATCCCGACTCATATTTGACATCGGAAAGAAAAAAATTGTTTTATTTTTTTCTGAAAATTCAAAACCTTGAGCGGAGGCTTTGTACAACTGAAAATAAAATAAATCCTGGCCTTAAATATGTAATTAGATCATTAGCATATTAACCAGGAGCAAAGGATAAGATGTTCAAAGAATTCATGCAATTCACTATATAATCATTAGAGCCCCACCCTAAAACAAGAACCCCTGACCCTGGGGCCCTAAAATTCACAATTTTGGTAGAGGCACTCTTGCTCATCATAACTATGTACTTAGTTAGTTTATTTAATACCCAGGAGCAGAGAAGAAGATTTTCAAAGAAATAATGTATTTTCACTATATAATTAATAGAGCCCCGCCCTAACACCAGAACCCCTGACCCTGGGGCCATAAAATTCACAATTTTGGTAGAGGCACTCTTGCTCATCATAACTATGTACTTTGTTGGTTTATTTAATACCCAGGAGCAGAGAAGAAGATTTTCAAAGAAATAATGCATTTTCACTACCTACTTATTTAGCCCCGCCCTAGCACTAGAACTCCTGACCCCAGGGCAATGAATTTCACAATTTTGGTAGAGGACTCAATGCTGATTACAATCATGCAAACAGTTTGATTGCTTGATGTCCAGGAGTAAAGAAGAAGATTTTTAAAGATTGCATTAATTTTAGTGGTTTTGGCCCCACCCCTCAGGCCCCAGGGGGGCAGGGATCATGAAATTCACAATTTTTGTTCCCCTTCACCCATAGATGCTTTGTGCCAAATTTGGTTGAAATTGGTTCAGTGGTTGCAGAGAAGAAGCTGAAAATGTTCAAATGTTAACGCACGACGCACGACGAACGACGACGGACGAAAACGGATAGCAATAGGTCACCTGAGTTTACTCAGGTGACCTAAAAATTATAGAATAATTCCAGCTAAAATAAAACACAATTGAGTGTAAAAATAGCAATAAAAATATAGCATGCCATACACATGTATCTACATTGGCAACAGACGCATTTTCATCTGGAAAAATTGAATCAAATCAACTGGTAAAAATCAATAAAGAAAATACTGTAACATGTTCGTAATATTTGGACAAACCCTTTTGTCCAATTTGATATGAATAAAGAATAAACCGAAAGTTTTGGCACAAAAATATATCATACAAATATAAACAATTATAAAAATCTAACTATTTCCACCTGGCCTCATAGGAAATATTAGAAATGTTTTAATAAGTCCATACACCTTACAAGTATATGTTATCAAAATAATGATTGATTAAAATTCATAAAGCTTGACACTATATAATTAAAAAAAGTGAAAGCACCTGATGCTGAAAATGAATTTGGAAAGCATAGCCTAAAAGCTTACCAATAGTAGGCTATGTAGAAAACCAATGGAACTGCAATGGCGAAGTCGATCCATTGCCAGTGTTTAATGAAGTAGGCAGCTCCCGATTGATAAAGTAAACCAATGGTGAAGAATCCGTGGATAAGTGTGCCACAGAATACTCTCTTGTTGGGACCCACAAGTTCCAGAGCTGAAGAGAGAAATGTGGTAGCATCGATTATGACGCCTGCGTGTTTAGATGTTTATTTGGCAATCCTTGGCATTTAGATGACTTGGTTTCTTCTTTAAGAATTTAGATTGATCCGTCATGTTATAGGGCGATAAGTGTGCCTATCACAACGAATCAGTAGTGAAGAGAGAATCTCTTCCCAGCAGATTGGTTTAACTTTTGCTAGATAAATTTTCAAAGAGGTAAAGTGTACTACAATGATGCAATATGGAGGCATTCGGTTTTTAATATCTTTTCTGATCAAAAAGTGTGCAGCGTACGCCAGTCGGGTGTCGTCTGTCAACTTATTTTTTATTTCCTTTCAAGTAATACTGTTTCAAGTAATACTGGGCCAATTTTTATTTATCTTGAAAAGAGCATCCTAGGGTAGAGGATATTTGAATGATATTAATTAAAGGACAGTAATTGAAAATCTCTAGAAAAAACTTTTAAAGTCACGATTAGTTAAATTAATATTGAAGCTCATTCTGTTAGTAAAAACTCAAGTTAGTTCAAATCATGTCCCTCTCCCTTTTATTCTTTCGAGATTGAAGGTTAAATTTCTGCTTTTCTCATATGATAGTGCTCAGGTGAGCAATATAGCTTATGAGCTTCTAGTTAATCAACGGAATCACAAAGATCTAAGCCAGTTCTCCGGTCAAAGGTATTTTGTATTTAAAAGATAAAACACAAATTTGAAGATCATTTCACAAAATTTAAAGGTCCTTTCATATCTCAAATAAAAAACTTTATTTAATTAAAGATTTATGGTACTTATCAAGGGAAACAAATATCCTTAAAAGTAGACTTAAGTCTAAAGGAGTATTGAATATAGAAACACTGTTGGACAATGAAGTTTAAAGTAAATAAAAATGTTACTGACATGACATCTCAACTGCTTATTTTGAAAGGTAAAACGCACTGAATGAACACCAAAGTTTTTCAAACTGAATGACCTGTCAGAGATTGTCCAGGTTTTAGAAGTTTCCTAAATGACAAGTATTCATATGAACCATGCAGACGCATTTTAATAGTGTTTTTTTTTTTTATCTTTTATCATAATTTTTAATTAGATTATGAAAGGAGATGAACGACCATATCAAAATTTATCATTCACCAAAATCTACTGTAAAGTAATTCAAAACGTCATGTTGTCTGACACAAACGAACTTCCTCGTCTGTAGTTGCTTTATTAAAATCTTCTTTTTCATTAATTTGGTGTATAAATTTGGAGTCTAACGTTTTATAACAGACGTTTTATTAATTGACAAGTAAAAGTTAACCACATTTTGAATAAATGCTATAAATGAACAAATTAACGTTAAAGTACCTGAACATACAGTTGCCACATGGTACTCAATGAAACTTTCCTGATGTTAATGAGGTCAACTGATGTTCTAAATTGTATACTTTAATTAACATTGGTAATAGAATTAAGAGTTTTAAATTTTATGACTAACTTAATTTTCTATAGTCTATTTCAAGGATAAGAAATAAGAGTTATCTGAAAGTATGTAAAGAAAAATAGATTGATTATTGCTCTAAAGGTTCATAAACCCTCTGCTCACTCACATAAAATGTTTCTTTAACTCTTATGATTTTCCATAGGAAATGTAAATGCTAAGTAAAATTCAAACAATTATAGCATGGCATGCAGGGCAAAACTGGACAAAAAAGACACTTTACTTGACACTTTTATAAAGGGATAATAGACATTTTTTCATTGAGTTATCTCTCTTGTCAGAGGAGTATCAATGTACCTCCTTAAGATAACGAATGTTTTCAGTGTATTGATAACTGTATCCGACTCAAATCTAATGATTTATGACGGCTTTCCTCATTCAATTCAGCTTCAGGAGTCCTTAGTCCACTCGTGGTCATGGGACCAAGATTACTTAATTTTATGGGAAGCCTATCAAATTAGGGCTTTCATATAAAATGACATACAGAGTAAAGAGAAGCAAGTATTTGACACAATAGAAGTTATTTATCAAAAAAGGCTTGATTGAATGTGATTGATTGATTGATAGCTAGGATATGGGTTTTTTTCAAAAGACGACACTTTTGTCAGCCCATTGATGTAATATTATTGATAATATGTTTTATGCATGCATATGTAATTTTCCATTCCTGTGGTTAGAATGTAGTGATTGTAGTATATTTTATGTATATCTCAGGTTTCGGAGTTAGGACTTATGTAATGGATAGTCTCGGGTTTTGGGGTTTTGCGTTGATTAGACGTTAGCTAACGTCAGAGATATCACGTGATTGTTATCACTGGTAGATGCTGCAAGTGTTTGTACACACCATTATTGTAAGAAAAGTTGGCCTATTGTTTGTTGCCACCTTATTTTTCAGCTTAAATGCTTAATATATTTGTGTTTTTGAGTATTGTCATGATGTTATTTTAATTTTTGGGAGATCCATAACAAAGTGTAGATACAAAGTTTAGAAAGTCATAGGATCTCCCAAATTTCATGTGTTTCATTTGTGTCATTTATAAATGACATATTTACAACAATACTCAGTCTTGGTTTTTCATTCAATCTGAAAAATATCAGAGTTGCAGGAAACTTTGTTGTAAATTTGCACTATTATCATATAATTTAATTTTAGTTGTAACACGTCATTTGATTGGTTAAACGGTTTTATCCATTTTGTATAACATAACTTGCCTACGTCACAATGAGTTACGTCAAAAACGTATTACTCCGCTTGACGTTAATTTTAAAATAACGCTCAATTTTAAACCTTTTTCCGGAGAAAATATTGTCTTATTGTCTACCCTGAAATTAAATTATAAGGAATGAAGCTTATTTCAACTTATGTTTTCCGATATAACCAAACTTGGGCAGTTTACGCTTTCTTATAAACCGCTTCGCGGTTTATAAAGCGTAAACTGCCCCAAGTTATGTTATATCGGATAACATAGGTTGAAATAAGCTTTATTCCTTAAATGGAAGGCATAAAATGAATTATGTTTTTCATAAGTCCTTCAGCCACTAATTAACTCTTTTTTCTTGTCTTTATAACTTACACATTACGTTGCACACCATAAAAGCACCATGTTGAGCTGCAGCAACAATGAATTCTAGAATGATAAAACTGATGTACTCAGGAGCCCAGCACACTGCAAAGCCAGACACATTCCATAGAAGTACTGTCGCCATTAAAGTCTTGCGCCTTCCAATCCTGGAAGAAATGAAGGTTTTTGCGTTGGATCGTTTTTAACATTCAAAAAATGCGTAACACTAACATATTTGATCAACTTTTTTTTAAACTTACAGATCAGCAATCAAACCAAAGCCGATGTCCCCGACCAAGACCCCAATGTAGAAGATGAGCTTTATATGTGACGTCCATGCTGCGTCATCACAAACAAGGTTGGCCTAAATACAGACGAGCACAGAACTATCAAATCTGGTAAACATATGAAATCATGCATGTAGAAATAATGTTATTTTTTAAAATTCTAAATCAATTCTACTCCTTATTCTACTTTACCACCTACAGCTTTTCGAAAGATTTACAGTTAAGTTTAGTAATTTTTGTTTT